CCTGGATGATTTGTTTGATGCCATGCTGCAGCAGATATCATCACCACCAGACAATAATGATGATCCCGTGGCCAAAATACAACGCATGTGGCCCGACGATCCAGTGCCAGAGAAAATAAATGCCTTTTTTACACGAGATTGTGAGTATCACTTACTTGTTGCTTTTTGAGAATGCAATGTCAATTTTCCACGCTGACTGGAGATCATTGTTGTTGCTTTTCTGTCTTTCCTAAGACGGCGTTGTCAACTGGAACATTCCATACAAGCCTGCCCAAGGAGGATTCCTTGTCCTGAGACCCGACAAATCCGTCTACGAGGAATACCTGGCCATCGTCAGGGAAGGAAACTTTCAACAATTCAAAGGATGGGGTGGCTTGGTGGGGCCATTCTATGGGGCCATGACGGTGCAGGGGTTGATTCCCTACTATCATGACGTATTGCATCCTGGAGAGACCGTAGTGCTTAACAACTGTGTCTACAACAACATGTGCAACAACCCAACGGATCAGCCCACCGTCAAAGAGGTATTGCAGGGCAAATGCCGCAGTGGAAAGACAATGGATCAATGTGAGGATTGTCGAAGGCGACCGTTGGAGGATATTGTGTCGGCCCATTTTACACTCTGCCAGAAACCATGGTTTTGCTTGCCCTTTGCGCAAGACAAGGTGGATCACAGACAGTGCCGCAAGCTGGTACATGAATGGTTCCGGATTCGATCCGATCTGGAGAAAAAGTGGGGGAGAAGTGGATTGGGAACAGCGGGAACAACAACGTGGGTACACCGAGACCAATTTTATGGTTACTGCAGCCAAACGGGCAAGGAGGCATACATACCTATTGAGCAGCCGTACGGGAAGCCTACACAATAATAGCTTGACGGCAGGACAACAATCGACATAGCTTTGGGCGGACCTGCTTCTGTTTTCAAGGCTTCGTGTCAGGTTGTGGCAGCAGGAGAGGATGGCTGATTGTTGAGGAAAGACGGCAGCCACTTCTTGCCTGGTTCCGCCTTGCTGCCTTACTGTCAACGCATTATGAACCGGAGAGGGACCGAGCGTAGTGATGGCCGCTTCCCTTGCTATGCTACGTACAATCTTCCATGGGGGCAGAACCTTCGACACACTATATGGTTGAAATCATATTGTAGAGTACAGCGAGTGCTCTACCGGTGATTCTACTTGTTGGCGTCAGGGTCAGCTTGTCAATGGCGACGCAGCTCATAGTCAGCTATGTAACGACCTACACGAGCAATCTCGTCTGTCGACCGCTGGTGAGGCACAATCATGTCACCTTTCATATATCAATGTGATTAGATTCAAACCGGGAGGGTACAACCGGCCCGCTAAGGTTCCGCCTTGCTTCTACTGTTGCCCCTGGTACCGCTAGGCCGGTGCGTAGATCTCCTATTGCCCTGAGTCTTCTCCGCAGCACATTCTCAGCAACAATCGAAAGCGCCCAACGCAATGCAATCCATACAGCAGCAGCACAATGTACAGTGCTTCGAGGGTTCACAACAGAGTTCACATGGACCTCAAGCAAATGTTCGTGACAACCCTCTCAGAGTGCCGCTCATTCGCGAGAGAAATATGTGTGCAACCTTCATTATACCATCGCCTTTTGCGTTGCATGCACAGAGTTCACAGAATGTCATGTCTTGACCAACAAAATGATACTCGGTGCAAACCATCGAGTCACAAGAGGCGCATTGGTACGACTGTAGGTAACACACGCGTCATCATCGCTTCCAATTGTAACGGCAAACCTCGGTATGACAGGTCCCACAAGGGGTACAGTCACCTTGGCAGTATCCAGTTCCGGATTGGGCACGCGTGTCACAGTCTCCGATTTGATCGCCCCCGCAAGAGACACATGCGACGTTGCCACAGCCATGGCCGGTGTTGCCCTTCGTACAGAGGTTCCCGTGTTGATTCTGCCAAAGCACTATCAGCCCGAGTAGAGGCTTTGTGGCCCCTGTTCGAGCCGGGAGCAACCCAAGGTTGCAACCTAGAACCTATTGAAAAGTGATGTTCATACCAAAGTTTAAAAGTTTAGTACCTAGCAGCAGCATTCAAAATGCATGGGAGTGGAGTCAATCCTGTTTCCATTGAGACTTTGTTTCACCCAGCAGAAATGTCGATCCCTCCTACTTAGTAAAACGAAGAGGAAACAGCTGTGCTGTGGCCATTTTCATTGGATTTTATTGAAACTTGAATAGTAAAATTGGAGGAGATGCAGCATCATCCATACTTTGTAGCTCCCACCCAAGATGTGCTGGAAAATCAGTTGCATTACATTGAATTTTGTAGAATTCAACCAGTGCTGTCAGGTTTGGATCCGAATTTGTTAGAATGTCAATGTACCACCAGTGCTGGGACATGTGACGATAGATCCAGAATTTACAATCCTTGCCATCATATGTCCCTTGCGTGCTAAATTTGGGTAAGCCATGGAATTCTCCATGCCGGGTGTAAACCCCATTGACTTCTTCTGTCCCAGCTCTCTGAACCTTGACTGCAATTGGAGGTTCCGCAGAATTGTCAGGTTTCTGGGAAACCCAGGGTGATCTCCGAGATTCTTGGAATGTTGCTGACGGCACATGCTTCTTGAGTGCCAAAGCCTGATTCTTGTACGCTTCATTAAGTCGCTCTGATGGAGCCAACCCTGATGCAGCCACTGTTGTTGTCAATTTTTCAATATCAATCTTTTCATAGGAAATGTGCTTGGAGAGGAGAACACCTTGTTCCTTTCTCCCACGGGGGTCGGCATCTACCCAGAGGGATAGGATTTTGAAGAGCTCGTACTCGGACATGTCCATCTGTGAATCCATGAGCATTTCTTCCAGAACATCAGTGCTCAACATGGCCACATGGGAGGCGGATAATGATTTTGATGGGGTTGATTGAACCCAAGCTTTTGCCTTGTCAGCAAACACCTCTGGAACTGAGTTGCCAGCGATTCTGCATGCTTGCAAGATTGCAAATGATGCACATGGATTATCCTTGAGAAGCCTTTCAAAAAATTCCAGCACAAGTTCAGTGAGGCCAGCAAGATCAAAATAGGAAGCTGCCTCTGCCAATGACACAAACAATTCAATTTGTTAAGGACTGATTTCGACGTTTTCCTTTTCTGAATCAGGTGCCTTCCGCTTCTTGCAGTTGAGCACTTTTGCTGTGTCTGTGAGCACAAACTCTACCACTGCCTTGAGGACACTTCCTGAAAATCCAAGCTCTACTACTGGAGACGATGATTCTTGGAACTTTCCCAGCAGCATGCCCATGAAGACATCAGACCGTGCTGCAAGCAAGAAGCGGTTGGCTGGAACCTCCACTCCATCATTGCCCTTGAGGATGATATCATTGAGACTCTCGACTGTCAAGAATCTTTGCAGCATCTCATCGCGAGTCTTGCAGCTGGTTGGTGGCTGCTTACTTTCAATAGCAGCAGCAGTAGTAGTAGCAGTGTTCTTGTCCGCCATGCATGGTGGTCCGCTGTGGATTGTGGTGATGCTGTGTTTATCATAAATAAATAAATATTGAATTCCCAAAGCCAAACCCTTTGGTCCCCGCAATGGCCTCAATTTGTCCCCCCTGATCCCACGGAACCTAATCCTGAATTTCGACTCTTCTTTGCCTAAGCCTGGCCCTTGCTGGCTTCTGTACATACAGACAACACACCTTTACTCTACAAACAGAGCCAATGCCTGTAAAGAGAGTGTGCATAACTAAGTAAATTTGCCAGCTTTTGTAAAGTGGCTTGTGCACTAGAAAGTCTATGTAATGACACGCAGGCTTGAAGGCTAAAAGCTGATATCTACCTAGTCATTGTCAATTCCCTCTTCACCCTCGGTATCCAACTTTTCCTCCTCCTCTTCCTGCCATTCTCCTGTATCTTCCTCCCGTTCCGCTTCTTCACTTGGTCCTGTATCTTCCTCCAGTTCCGCTTCTTCACTGCCCTGTACAAGGTAGAGTTAGGTCAGATTTAGGGGTCCATTTTACAGAATTAAGAAAATACCATAAAGTATTAATGTATGCGCAGAAATAGAAAACCGGATTCTGTAAAGTTTATATGTACCCATAGAAATGCCAAGTGTTTGTAAAGTACAGTGTGCACAGAAAAGTGTAAAGTAAAGCTGTGTTGTCTGTAATCTGCTAGCTTTTTTAGTCCCTAATGGTCAGGGACTCCACTGATGCTTGCCACTGATGAAGCACCTCTCTAGTAGTAGCGAAACTCACACTTTGATGCTTCCTAAGTTTGGATCTCAAGCAGCACTGCTTTCAGTAGAGACTAATGATGTAGTCCCCAAGACTGTTAATTCTTGTAGACCTACTAGAGTGTGGAGTGACTGTTCACGGCTTCGCCGCTCACTGTGTGTGTAACCCCCCAACATTTGCTGAGCAAGAGACCGCAGAGAAAGGGATCTTCACTTACTTTTTGCAATGGTCCTCTGTTTCTGGTGACCGTTGATGGCATCCTGTGATGCGCCCATGTGGAGCTCTTCTTGCGGTTGTTTGGTATCTACTAGCAGAAGCTGAATTTCGCCACCGAAGTTGACGGAGTTGGAATAACGGGGGTTTAGAATAGATAGATTATCTATGGAAGCCAGCCAGGGCCAGGCTTATAAGGAAAGAAGAGTCCAATTCAGGAGTGGACTAGCTAGCTAGGTTCGGTGGGATCAGGGGCAAGAAGCTGATGATACGGTCAACCCGAGATGTTTGTACGGCACCTGATAGAGCCAAAGATGGGCGCAGTATTCCGAATACGGAAAGGCTCCCTGGAAGCAATGACTAAGGCGGCAGACAATGACACTCATCAGCTCTACTCTTCCCTCACCATATATTCAACTTGTCCTCAGTTTCGTTGTGCCCTATGTTTGTTCTTCTTCTCCATCCGTCATCCTCTCGATGACGTTGTCAAACTCTCCCATAGGCCCAGATCGCTAGCTCACTTTGATGCAATAATGGACACTTGAGTGCGGGTGCGCAAAGCAGCTCATTATCGTCACAAGAGAGGAACGCAACGTGCATCGATCTATGGATATATAGTCTTAGTTTATGTATACGATGCTGCACTGCACATCTAAGCCTCAACCGAGCAAACTCCGTCCCAGCAAGCAGGTCCCGCAGCAGGCACAACACGGATGATGTTCGAGGCTCCAGGAGTTCCAAATGGAAGCCCTGCAGTGACAACCAAAAGGTCACTGGGGTCGGAGACAAGGCCCTTCTTCAAAGCAGCCTTGCAAGCGTTGCGAAGGATCAGGTCAAAGTCAGAGGGAGCAGTCTCAACAGTTGGTTCCGAGTAATCCATCATGTTCTCGTCTTCCACCTGGTAGCCGTATGATCCAGGCTTGGGAAGTTCAGGGTAAACTCCCCAGCTCAAGGCAAGCTGACGGGCAGTTTCGGGAAAGGGGCAGAGTGCCATGATGGGAACAGAAGGTCGCTTCTTGGAAGCACGGAGCACAGTGCTTCCACGTAGAGAGAAAGAAACAAGAGCCTTGGCATTGATAGTCTTTGAGATTTGACGGGCAGCAACAATCATGGCATCAGTGGGTGTTGCTTCCGGTTCAGGGGCGTTGGCATCAAGGTAGGATCGGTAATGGGGGTCGCTCTCCACTCGGTTGATGATTCGTTGTTGCATTGTGACGGACTCCTCGGGCCACTATTTGTTTCGTAGTCGAGGCACTGATTAGATTGTGCTACCAAACAGTCCAAGTCAACGGAAAACATGTGACGACTCACCTTTCCGGCAGCACTTTCGGCACTAAGCATGATAGCATCAGCTCCGTCATAGATAGCGGTGGCTACATCACTGGCCTCAGCCCGAGTGGGAGTTGGGGATTCGATCATACTCTCTGAAAAAGAAAGGGATTAGTCCATTGAGTTTGTTGTGTTCACAGCCGTATTGATACTGTTTTCAAAGAGTTCAAACTTACCAAGCATTTGCGTAGCAACAACAACGGGCTTTCCTTGGGACCTGCACTCATCAATGATGGTCTTTTGCAGGATAGGAACATCCTCAGGTGGGCATTCAACACCAAGATCTCCACGGGCAACCTTGCATCACGATTTATTTTTTCATCAAAGTGTTCTTGTGAGATCTTGCCAATCGGAATGTCTCCCAAGCAATTTACGCAACAAACTCACCATGATTCCATTGCAGAGCTTGACAATGTTCTCAAGGTTATCACCTTCGAAGCAAGACGGTTTCTCAATCTTGGCCATAACGCATGGCTTGAATTTTCCTTCTGGAGTGTTGGAGTCAATGATTTCAAGGATCTCTTCAATGTCTTCAGGACGTTGAACAAAGGAAAGGGCAACCTGTTGTTGTTAATATTATCGAAAGAAGCACAGTGGGTAAGAAGATGATTGTAGCAGTTACAATCGACGCACACGATTTCTTTACTATAATACATACCCAATCAACACCAATGCCAAGCATGTAGTCCAAGTCAGATCGGTCCTTGGGTGTCAAACAACTAATTTCAAGGATGGAATCAGGTGTGTTGACTCCCTTCCTGTTGCTGATTTTTCCTCCGACAATCACCTTGCAGTCCAAGTACTCGCCACCGGCTTCCACAACCTCAACCTTGACTTTTCCATCGTCAATCATCAAAATATGACCAACCTCGGAGGCGGTAATAATTTCGGGGTGGGGCAACTGAACACGCTTGTTGTCACCCTTGGCTTCATCCAGATCAAATCGAAAGATTTGGCCTTCTTCCAGGACTTCACCATTGGGGTTGGAAAATTCACCCACCTGGATAAGAAAGAACAATAATAACAAAATAACGTGTTGAGCCCACCGTCTTTTCTTTCCGACATCTTTCTCACAAATTGTTATTTGTCTCAACAACACAACTTACGCGAAGCTTTGGACCTTGCAAATCACCCAAGACGCAGATGGGGTGAGAATATTTTTCTTCCACAGTACGAATCATATCAAGAAGTTCCTTTTTCTGTTCCTGTGATCCGTGGCTGAAGTTAAGACGGAACACATCGGCACCAGCCAAGAAAAGAGTCTCAATCATTTCAACAGAGCTGGATGCAGGGCCCAAGGTGGCAACCTGCTTGGTGGACTTGCGCCATCGCTGAGCAACCTTGGGCACAGCAGCCACAGTGGCGTCCGCAAATGGAGTTGAGACTGTTCCTTCGATGGTAGCAGCCAACTTGATGCTGTTCTTGGCAAATCGTTGGGCTGGAGCCACAAAGGCATCGATTCCACTGGCCAAAAAGGCAACACTCAACAAAACAGAGGTAAATTTCATCTTGAAGTTTTCTATCTTTTTCTGTTCTAAAATTGTGACCTTCAACCTTAGCAGGCACAAAAACTTCTCCCTTAGAACGCGGTACCTCGGCTCCAAGACGATGGTCTAAAAAGGTTGGCGTGTAATCAATTGCAAAAAGTTGATGTTGCCATCAAGCCCCTTGATGGGCTGGGCAAATCAGAATGAGTGGAGGCGACGTGTAGGTTTCTCGCGGAACGGGCAATCAATGGAGGCTCTTTCATGTTGGGCTTGGCCGAAATTCACTGTAGCACGTTCAGTACAATCCTTCAGTCGTTCATGGTATCTTTCCTCGATTGGAGGCGGAAAAGAAACGCATACGTCAGTTTAGCTGACCAGACAACCCACACCTTCCTCCAAGCGAGACAAGCTCCACGTCTTCCAACATCAAATGTTGGCTCGTTGGATGCAATTTAGAGAAATCTAGCTTGCCCAAGAGCTCGTTGTCGCTAGAATAGTCGTCATTCAAGATCCTGGGCTTCTGGAATGGCGTCCATCATTTATTTGCCCATCACTGCCCATCACTGTCTTGTGAATGTCCAGTGTTGGCGATGGGAACTCAGCTAGAAAGATAGCGTTCCGAGAGTCAGTTGTAAAAACTTGGCGTGGCTAGCTAGTTCATGGATCTTTTTTAGCTACGTAATCCTATATTGAATGACAAACGTCAAAGGAGACCGCCGTGTCCACTGTCATCCTTGCGGCGGACAGGCTGCTCCGTTTTGTGAGCGACCTGGGCCCATGACGAGCCTGGATTTGGTCTGTTTGGTGGGACCTGCCTGATGTTGGGACCTCGAGTGGTTCCTTGTGTTGGTTCTAGCTAGTGCTCTCCGCCTGGACTTGATGTGCGGAAACGGCCATCGAACCCTCGTTCAGGTCCTCGTGTAGCTCCAGTGCTGGCTAGAAGCCGGGACCGAAGACAGACGAGTATTGTAGGACTGGACTGGAGCGGGACCAGGATTAGGTCCAGGCGGTATTCATGACATTGTAGTTGGCCGTTGGCCAGAATGTTGTTTTCGGAGGATTTGTTCCTGGTTTGGGGGCTGCAGCTAGGCCCTGGAGTTTGCCAATGCATGACCAGTGCGGACACGCTCATGAGGTCAGGAGCGCCCAGTTCCATCTCGTTGGGGTCGATACCATGATACCGACATGTCCGCAGCAGATCCCAACCACAGAAAATTTTATCTTTGGGGCCCCATGTGACACCTGGACTGGGAGAGGAACCTGATCCTGGCGAGGTGGGAGGGGTTTATCCTGGTAGTCTGTTGATTCATGAGCGCAACGAGGGTTGGATGTTCCGGAGTGGAGGGCCACCGGTACCATGGAGGACGTTTCGATGTTGCGATATAGACTATGTAGGTGGGGTAAAAACTGTCTTCTGAGAGTTTGTTGGGTAAATTTTGTTGTCAGCGCGATTGTTTTACAGTACCGTACCACTGACTATGGCTCATACCCGTCAAAAGCTGTCTTCCTGTGCATGACTTGATAACACACGTGACAACGGCCGGAGGTTCAGAGTTGGTGTACTGGTACCAGTCATGGTGTTTCCTTGCAACATCCGCTCGAACACACCCAAACGGAGCCTATGTCTATGAGCCTGCTATCGAGGAAAGATGAAGGTCCGATGGAAAGAACATGTGGATCCGAATGCAGCCGCCTCCAATGGAAACTAACATTCCTCTAAATCAACAGCTTTCTCCCGCACCAACAACACACCCTCCGATGCGAGCTCGGACTGGGACGCTGCGCAGAATTGCTGCTTCCGTCCACCAGCAATCGGGGAACAATGAAACCGGAATAAGCCCATATAGACTGGCCCAAGACATGCTTCCCAAACACGGGAGCCGTGCATGCAGAGGGGGCGAGCCCAAAGAATAGATAGGCTGAGCCGAGCGCTAGCATAGCCAGGCGCCACCGAGTAAGGGCTGGGCCACTTTGCAGGGAGCAGAGCGGAGAGAAATTTGGCAAGTGCCTGAGTTTGGAGATGGTTAATCATAGTCGCTTGCTTCCTCTGGCCTGCTGACGATTTGACTCCCGCAATCTTCGTGCGCGCGGCGCCTGCTTGAATTTCTTCTCTCAATTTTTCTGCTCCAAACGATTGAAAACCAGCTTAACAACCTGGGCTCAAAGCTCGCAGGATGCAATCACTTATCCCGCAGCCTTCTCCTCGTCGAACCCTTCAATATACGACTGTATGGCAATGGGTCAATTCAGATCTCGTGTTGTTGCCCTCTGGCTCTTATTCTTAGCGGCTTGGCATTCGCTTGACGTTGCAAATCCTGGCAGGTGGAGAATCAGTGAATTGCAGAGAGATTTGCGAGCCCTGGTTGCAACGACGACGGAGACGCAGAATCAAGCTTTTCTTCAGGCTCACTTGACTGAGGATAATCCAGTGCACTGCTACAATGAAACATATTGTTGTGGAATATGGAATGTGAGCGGATCAGACCATTGGTGGACACACAACCCAGATTGGGAAGTCTCGTTTGAGGATGAAACATCATTCTGCTTCGCTCCCATGCAAAACGAAACAAAGAGAGCCTTCCTGAAAGACCTCCACTGGTTGCAGTGGCAGGTTGGCATTGGCTCAATCAGGGATACTCAGGCTCTAGAGGCACTTTTGCCAAGGGATTTCAACTTCACTGTCAATTGCTCTGACATGAGATCCAGTGTAAGCATTGGATCCGGTTATGGGGCTGCCATTCAATGGCTCCTTTCATCGTTTTGGGAGGCATGGTCAAGCCAAAAGCCATTCCAGACTATAGACAAGTGGCTTTGGATGTATACGGTTTCAGGTGAAAAAAACACGTGGGCCAATTGTACAGAGCAGGATCAATCATGTTTCTATCTTCCGATCTCCCCCTGTTCGCGTGAATTCAAAGATCAACCCCGATTTCAACGGCGCCCAGACAAGAGAGACCAAAAACAAGTTATCCAATGGCTGTGGCTAAAGGAGTACTTCCTTAGACCACAGCAGTTTTTGCGGCAGCAGCTGTACAAGCTAAGACAACCATTCGAAGAGCAACTGAGTAATGGATGTGTCGCTATGCATATTCGAAGAGGTGGTAAGCTGAAGTGAAGAATACTGGGTGCCATGCCCGTCACAACTGCATCACGATGGCAGCTTGCCGCTCACTTATTGCTTCTCCTGCATCTCCCAGACTCCGGCACATTGAAACCGCCATATCGGCGGTATGCGGCAGTGCAAGAATATTTGGACCTTCTACCCGATCTTCAATCAAATACGACTATCTTTCTTTTAACTGATGATGCCAGCACAATTGAAGAGGTTCAACGGCATCATATATCCAAACATCGTTGGGTTTACACGGACAAAGCTCGAGTTCGTGGAGTTGAAAATGGATTCGATGGCCACGTGCCACCATCCAGCAGTGGACCTGATGAGCTTGCCATCATTACAGCCGAGCAAGAGCTGGCGTCTAAGCACTGCGACTCATTCGTTTTCGGTAGGAGTGGATATGCCTACACACTTCTAGAGCAGATGCGATCAACAGGTCGCCAAATCAATACATACTACCTGGAAACCAGGGTAGATAGCAGTGAAGTGCAATTCATTCACAACCAGGATAAGCGCGTGGCCAACCTCATGCAAATGGTGGCAAATCAGTACGAGCCTGCTACTGCTGCCCCCGCTGGTGGCTTGTCTCGACAAAGGGATTCCTCCACAGAACCTCCCGAGTCATCAGTAGCTGCGTCTGAGGCACAGAAAGACAATGATGGGGAGGCGAAATCCCCCGAAACTCGAGTAACGACCGAAGCAGGCGTTGCTGCTCAGGCAATGGCTGGATGCATGTTCTTTGGTTGCGAGCAACAATAGCGCAAAGTGCAAAACCCAAGCAACCACCAAATGTTTGGGGTTGCTTCAAGTCCAAAACCAAACTCATGGTCTCGGGGGCGACGGCGTAATCTGGCTCCTGACAAGACCTCAACAGTCAAGGACCGCGTGTGTTGCTATGAAAGCATCAACGACGACAAGCTATCTGTGATGATCAGCTAACTAAAATTATGAGATATGTCTAGCAACATTACAAGCACACAACTAAATCAACATCGTACAATGTTTTGCTTCACAGATCACTTTGACGAAGATCTGCGATCTAATGTAACACGAACAAGTGACATTGGATTGTCGGCTTGTAAGCCCTTGGAACCCTGAGGCGACGCAGAATTGCCAAGCAATGGGAGCGTGTCTTGAATCTTATCATCCGTGCTCTTCCAGGCAGAAGGGCGAGTGGCCCTATTGAACGAAGAACTGAAAATGAGAGGGGCAGGTGAAAATTCGGATTCTGTGTTGTTTGAAAGTGTCGGCAGGTTGGGAACTTCCACATAGTATTCCAAGTAGCCAGTCATGAAATGATCCATTGACGGCACTGCCTTTCTCTTCAACAAGACAACCCTTTCAGATTCATTTTCCACCAGGCACAGCTTAGCCTCGATGATCCATGGACCAACAGTAGTTGCCTTCGTTTCTGAAAGGTCATAAGCTGTTGTGGAAAGTTAGCGCCCCCATGACCCATACAGATGTGCAAACAGCTGAGTGATGCATGCCAGTCCACTTACTTTGACCAAAGCACTTGTAGCCGTCGGCTTTCCGCCAAGGAAAGCTATCTGGGTGGAACACATACACACGGCCGTCTGCTTGCAAGTAGACCGCATAATCGCGGCGACACTGTAACCAACCCTCTCGGATAGTCTTCTTTATTGTGTGTACGGGATTGACTCGTTCAAGAAAGGAAAGGACACTCTTGTCGCTGAACATACCAAGCCCAGCACTGTGAAGTACCTCTCGGAGTACAAACTTCCAAAAGAACTCCCCCCTTTCAATGAAAGGTGCTGTTTCAAATACGATCCCCATTGGAGTCCTGGCTACCCTATCCATGAAGGGCTTCAGTAGCACATCATGAAGCAGGCTGCGGCATTCATCGCTCTCAGTTGCCAACGTACTCAGATTGTTCATGCTGCCTTCACCATAAATTTCTTCCAACAAGGGGAGCAGTTTGTTGCGCAGCTTTCCTCTTGTTGACCAGTGAGGTGTCGTGTCTTTGTACGAGAGCAAGGGTGAGAAATACAGTGATCACGGCCACACAATAATGAAAGGCTCATCTGCAATAATGAAGCTCTCACCTTTGAAGTATGGCACCCCAAAGCGATGCGCATAGTCATACACTGCCTTCTTTTCCAGCGGCAACAGCGGCCGGTAAATTGTGACACCATCATTCTGAGAAACCGGGGTCATTCCCGACAAATCCAGCGGTCCGCACCCCTTGTGAGCATTCGACAATACGTTTTCTCGCAGGTCCCCTCGATGATGCCCCAGCATGACTCCCACAGTTTCGTCGCTGCAATGTCTTTGTTGATCTGCTGCGGTTCTATACATGTCATATCGCATCTGCCGTGCTCGTTGTTCGTATTCATCCCTCGCAGTGGTCCCTCGCGTCACTTCTTCAATCCGTCGAACCACGAATCGAATCCCCAGCTGATGACAGTAGCGTTCCACATACTCTGCCTCTGCCTTGGATTCGGGTCGATTGGCATAGTCAATATGAATGGCGACAATCTCCAAGTGCGGATAATGCAGATCCGTTTTGAGATGGGCCAAAACCGAAGCAATCACCATTGAGTCCACACCACCCGATAGACTGACAATTAGAGAGGCTTTGTTTAATGTTGTGGCATCGTTCGTCACTGTTCCGTCTTTTCCACGTTGGTTGTCGCCGTTATCATTCCGACTTTTGCGATGGTCCTTTTTCTTGCCAGGCACTCCCACAGGATGGATTCCTCTATCCGCGAGAAAGGCTTGAATGGTCTTGACGACGGGATGGTCTGCTGCATCTGACATGTCGGCTTGAAAGGGGAAGGTTTCCAGAATGTCCTCATCACTAAACTTCTTCGGTGTGTTGTTGCCGTCTGCTGTCGAGTTTTGTGCGGATGCGGAATCTGCACCAGTGGCTTGGTCGTCTGCTACAGTAGTAGCAGTATTATTCGACACGGTCAACTTGCCTGTCCGTCGAGCTTCATCTTGCAAGAGAGCCATTCGTCGATTGGTCGCCTTTCGAAATCGACTCGTCATGTCTTCCATCTGCAGATTGAGATTGGCCGCCAGTTCGACACAAGTTTGAACGTACTGCACACTGTCCAATGTGCTGGCATGTCGATAGGGCATCAAACCAAAAATGTATTGGGGGAGTGGGATCATGCCACATTGAATCTCGGATTGGTGCGCTTGCGTCAAGAGTTGTGCCGTTTTCAGGGCCAGCTTGTCCAAGATATCTTGGGCGGGCAAATTGTTGTTGGTGCTTGCTTCTCGTTCTTGATGATAATGTCGTTGAATGTGTCGTGACAATTGATCCAAAACAATAATGGCCGCCAACTTGCCCTGGTATCCGTACATGTCCTTGTCGGCACACCACTGTTTCCACCGACAGTCTGATGACGTATTGTTGTTGTCTGCCGCGGCCGTGGCGAGTTCACAGAGGAGTGGCGTAAAGAGATCGGCAATTTCGGAATCGACGGCCACTCGATGGGCACCGGACGAATGGGCAATCATCCAGAGTTTTTTCTGGGCCGTGTCGGGGTCGTACTGACCAAACCAATAATGCAACACTCTTCGAATCAGAGACTGATTTTGGCGGACGCGATCTTCATCATAGTCATGCTGTTGTGTGCTGAATTGTGTGGACGATCCATCGCATAAAATGGATGTGGGGGCATCTTGGCTGGCCGAACTGGCATGTGCTCCTCTGGAAGGGGGTTTGTTGCTATTGCCACCAGTCTTGTTGTGGGTATTCTTCTTGTGGGTATTATTAGTATTGCCATTATTGGTAGCCATCCTGATGAGCATGGATTGTGATTGTGATGATAATGTTTCCACAAAGGGAGCTAGCTGTTCTTGAATGGCTCCCAAGAGCTGTTGTGCAAGGGAGGTAATGGTCCGAGCCGAGCCACGGCGCCACTTTTGCAAGTACACGGAAATCAGCTGTTGCCATTCCAAGGGTAGCAATTCTTGCCAGAGTTTTGCATCTTTCCAAAAGCGTATTGCCACCAATGTCAAACCCAATGTCAACGTCGATAATCTTTGAGCCGATGTCCGAGGTGGATGCTCCAGGAATGAATTCCGTCGCAGCGGAGCGTAGGCAGAGACTGCTGCTGTACCACAATCTTGGCTCATGATTCTCATACCCTCCTGAAGAAACTTTGTGGTGGCCCTTTTACTTGGATTGGTAGCTTCTAGCTAGCGGTAGTATCAGCAATCTGTCAGAGGGAAGGAGGTTGATACCGGTATGATCGTTGTGATGTGAGAATTTCTCCCTTCTTGTTTTGATGGCCACGCATCGACACGGTTGCTTGGAGTCCTCAGTCAGTCTTTCAGATCTTTGCTTGAAGCTTGAAGCTCCAAGTGAGAAACAAAAACAAAAGCAACGGTGAAGCGGAACTAACTGCCTCCGACATTCATTCGTGTCCAACTTTGACTCGACTCGACTCGACGACTCGCCCGTCCTTTTGAGGGGGGTCAACAATTGAGGGTCTGCTTCATCGGTTTTCGGGAGCTCCAGAGGGGGAGGTCTAAAAGTCATGCTAGCTAGCCAATTAAAACAATATTATTGCTATTGGTTTCGAGCCACGTTGAGTCCACGCTCCCATGTCTGCATTTCTAAAGAACCAGAACACAATCCCAAAAATTCTGCATTGGCTCTCGTTATTGAGCGAGAACGTATTCCAAACTGGAACCATGACGGATAACAATTTGGAGCAACCTACTACTAGCTGCAAGACTCATGATGAGATGCTGGCAAGGTTCTTGACGGTTGACAGCCTCAATGACATTGTCCTCAAGGGCAATGATGGAGTGGATGTACCAGCCAACCGCTTCTTGCTTGCGGCACGGTCTGACGTCTTCATGGGCATGCTGCTGGGAAAGTTCCAAGAATCATCATCACCCGTTGTAGAGCTTGGATTCTCTGGAAGTGTCCTCAAGGCAGTGGTTGAGTTTGTGCTCACTGACACAGCACAAGTCCTCAACTGCAAGAAGCGAAAAGCCCCTGATTCAGAAAAGGAAAATGCGGCTATCAGTCCTGAACAAATTGAATTGTTTGTGTCATTGGCAGAGGCAGCATCATACTTTGATCTTGCTGGCTTGGGAGATATTGTTCTAGAATCTTTTGAAAAGATTCTGAAGCAAAACCCATGCTCATCTTTTGCTGCCTTGCAAGTATGCAGGATGGCAGAAAAGACAGTTCCAAAGGTGTTCCGTCTAGCTACCAGTCTCGTCACGGAATAGGAAGGGCGAAATTCGACCATAACCTGGGGCACCTTGCCCATTTCCCCGGAAGGACTCTTGAGGAGCTTGACATTCATGGCGCAGGGTCAGCTCGGCTCAGCTTCGATTCGTTCAAGATGACGGTTTGTGAGCATTATTTGGTTGCACTCGTACCCCAATAGTCCCAGACCCAGTTGGACTATCCAGCTTTTGAGTGCGAGGTGGACTCGCCCCAGTTAGAATCAAACTGTGGATTGGCCTGTTGGTACTAGTAAGTTTCCCTGAGCAAGGAACCAAGGATATTTGCAGTTTTTGGATCCGCCAATCCCATACGGTACGCTGGATCTTACAGAGTGGAGTCGGTGAATTACTTGTCGTCTACGTACGGGGCGGATCGAACAGTGATCGAATCACTTCCAAAACTGGATTTTGTTCTGATGCTTCTCCAAGTCTCCTTCGGAATCCTCCCCATCTTGTTGCAGTTGTGTCTTGCTTTGTTGTTGTTTCATCAATTCGTCGCAACGACGATCAATCTTCGTGACAAACTTGGGATCGCCTCCATGATCTCTTCCCGGCAACATGAACCGCTCCTGAGCGTGAAACGCATTGTCTAGGTTTTCCCTGCTGGTTGAATTGAGTGCATTTTCCACCATGGCTCGCAGCCTCAATTCTTCTCGGCTCTTGACGCGAGGAGAATCGTCGAGTACGCTTGCGGCTTGCTGTGGCAGTCGCTCCTTTTGTTTGTCTTGAATGATGGAGAGGCACCACCAGCCAGCAGCCATGGAAAGCGTCAGGGATCCGACGGCAAACGAGGTAAAGTTGTTGTTGATGAAACGTTTCATCTTGTTATTATTATTATGGAACTGGCTAGCCAGCTTGAGAGACACGATGTGGAAGCATGCAGCGGCAGCTAGCTAGTATATACCGGGCAGACCCCGGTGATCTCTGAACACGTTTATTGTGGTGGTGGTTGGTTGGTTTTGGTTGGTTGGTTATCCTTAGGGTTAGAGTTTATCTAAAAACGAAGCCCCCTCTTGGACCCCCACATTTCTTACACATTCTCTTTTATAGCAACGGATCCTGAATATTTTCCTCACATTTGCACACCTCTAAACTCCCGTAAGCTACCACGCCACTTTCTCAGATGGAAAAATCACGTTGCACATCTCTAAACTCCCGTAAGCTACCACGCCTCTTTCTCAGACGGAAAAATCTAACGTCTCACGTTGCACACCTCTAAACTCCCGTAAGCTACCACGCCACTTTCTCAGATGGAAAAATCTAACGTCTCATGTTGCACATCTCTAAACTCCCGTAAGCTACCACGCCTCTTTCTCAGACGGAAAAATCTAATGACACTACCTTCAGCTAAACTTCAACAATATTACTATGCCGGCCCATTTTTTAGTCAGCTCGCCCGGTATATCTATTACACCTCCGGTGTCCTTTACCGGTAGGTCAACCATCGTCGCCGGTTCTGACTCAAACTGGGAATTTGGTTGCAAATTGAAACCAGCAAAGCGGGAAACATGTGCCCCGGAGGGACGAAGGAGCCCACGCTCAGAGAGGATATCGGTACGACTGTAGAGCAGTGGTAGGCGGATTAGAGTGCTCCGCAGCCTTGGATGTCATGCAGAGATGAAGTCTGGAAATTATCTAGCTAGAGTGTGGGCGCGGGAGAATGGCTATGAATTTGTGTCCCTGGGATGAATGATTCAATCGACTGCATGGCACATCAAGGTTCAGAGATGCCGGTTTCAGATGCCTCCATCGTTTTTTTGGTCCCACCTTTGCGTTCATCACTTGCTTGCTAGTAGCTACATGTACCGGTAGGGAGCTATGCATCTTTCAATGTTAATGATGTAGCCACAGCAGAGCGCTCCGTATGAACATAATCCCTTGTCACTGATGAACCAACAACCCAAGTCGGACGAAAACTGAATCACAAGACACCCATTGTGCTGTCATTGCTGATACTATGTTGTTTCTTATCACCAGCATACTAGTAGTGGTTCTTTCTAGTACCCTGTTCGCTCATCCAGTGATTCAGATCGATTTCTTCTCACTGCCTTGCTCCCATACTGCTAGCTAGCAACGGTACCGTATTCGAGCTCATTCATGCGTCGATCAAGTTGTTGCTTTGACAGACTTGAATGGCTATTTGTCGCAATTCTTTGGCTTCGGCCAGTGTAGGAATAGGCAAGGGCTCTTCCGAAGGAGGTTGCATTCTACGTGCTCGATTCCACCAAGTGGTGTTATAGATTGTTGGTGGTTCTCGTTCCGTCATGGTAATGAACAAAATGTATGCTTGCAACAGAGTTCCATGTGGACTCGGATGAAAGTCATCCCGATGATAGAGCCGTTCCCAGAGTGCCTTGTCGGGATGATAAATGTGAGAATAGGCCAGGCCCACGGGAGCAATTCGTGTGGTGGATTGTGGGGACTCTGGTTTCTGTTGTTCTTGAATGGCGGCGTCCACTTTTGTTCGGTAATACTGGTATCCATCTTGGAGTAGTTGGGTGTAGTGATCAAAATCCCCCAAATCGGACGTTCCTCGGATCTCTTCTTTGCGATATGCCGCTGTCTGTATGAAAATGGGTGTTGTGATACTACTGCCAGACGACTGGACCAGCAATGGCACATAGTCCTTCTTCAATGTCTCGACGGTTTTCTCGCGTGACTCTTGTCTGGCTGGAGACTGTGTGTGGTCATTGATCACCGCAAAATCAAAATCCTTCTCCAACAACAAGTCTTTCACCGTAGGAGCTCCAATATCATAGGATCCGTCCGGTAAGAGGGCATTGTCTGTGTGGAATTTCTCTTCCATTCCATTGCCCTTCTTAAACAAGGAAATAATCGAAGCACCTCCTCGCAAACAAGAATTTTGATACACACCATCGTATCCACCGTCGGCTTGGAACATTCGTTCCAGCAATCGCGGACAATCATTAAAATATTGAATGGAGTTTCCCAAAAAGGCAATCCGAATGGTTTTTCGTGGTTGTTGGCCATTCTTCTTCTTGATGTTGTCATTGTTTGTGGTAATGGCCTTGGGACGTGTAGCCAACGAAGTTGCCACGGCCAACGTTATCCCAGCCAGGAACAAGGAAAAAAGGGAGGTGGCCCAGGAAGAGGGCCAGAAACTGGATTGCTTTGTCGTCGTCATCTCAATAAAAGGCTGGGTTCATTGGGTCCTCCAAAGGTAAAAGTGGTGATCCGTTGGGGCAAGACGATGGATCAAGCATTGATCCGTCAAATAAGACAACAGAGCTGTGAAACAGAACCCACAAAAGACACCCTTCCCTAAGGTCGGAGAGAACAACACTACTATGCATAGTAGAACGCAAGGGCAGGCACCGTCGAAGAGACTGTCACTCCAAGGAAGACATGTACTGTATGAAAAAAGGGCCTAGCTAGCTAGAGTAGTCTAGTGCATTAGTTCAAAGGGTATGGAAGGCTCCTATGGGCCAAGCTTAGGGGAAGAGCAGGCGAAACTTGGGGCAAGGCTCAGGTGGATCATGGGGAACAACACAGGACCAATCTTTGGGCATCAGTTTGCCACAAGTCTCAAAAGGCATGGATAGTTAACAAGGTCAATGGAGAACCAGGTGAAGCATTGGGTCTTGTCAGCATTCACAGTGGCAAGTCGTTGGGCAAGTGCTTGAGCTTTGGGAGATGGCATGCCATCCACAGAAGAAGAAACAACCAAACGATTCATTGCGGGGTCCGCAGGCACCTTGATATTTGGAAGTCTTCTCACGTTCTGGAACATGTAAGACTTGGACAGGATCACTGTTCCGGTGGGACGAGGAATTGAGATGGGTACGGTAGCACGGCTCGATAATGGCGTTGGTAGTACCACGTTCAAGCACACCACGTATGGAAAGGTCACCATGAAGCAAGAGTTTCAACTGGTGGTGGTGGATTGGTTAGATCCGTACTGGAGTAAAGCATTGGGGGTTGTGGGAGCATGACCAGTGGGGATTGCGGGAGCTTGAAATGTTGAGGGCGGTGGTTCTGCATGGACAGCAGAAGGAGTAAAGCATCGGACCCAATGGTGGCGGATTCATCACTGACTTCATTGCGGTGTAAGAGTCACTAAAGCACCATGTTTGCAATAGGGCATGCAGAACAACTGAACGGGTATCACAGGCAACGCAACCCAATCTTTTGAACAGCAGCCAACTAAGTGTTCGCAGGGGTTGTACACAAGGTCAAGCTTCATCCCAAAGGCTGAAAAGAGGCTGTGTGAAGCCAAAGCACCATGCTGCGGGATGAGGGAAAGTTGGAAGGAAGCCTCCGTTTGGATACTTAGATACCCATCTTCAGATGTCTTGTAGAACCAAACAGTGAAGATAACACTTAGCAATGCCGTACCGGTAGGTCGATCTCAGTGCAGTTTCATAAAACCGGTATGATGGCATAGTAGTTGAATGCTACTTTCACTCTGTTCTCTGTTGCATATTGTTGTATGGCAGTGGTACGATGTAGGGAAAGATGCCAATCCATAACCTAGTGGCTGATACTTCAGATCATTACTGAGTTTTTTATCACCCTGTTTCTTCCGATGCCACTGGCCATGTGCTAGATGTCTTCTTGCTGGATCTAAGACCCTGATGCGGGCACCAAGCAGAAAACAACAGGAACTCCAAGGCCTTCAGTTGTTGATCAATTACGCAACAAAAGTTCAAGCTTCAGCAACAAGGCTCCCGTTGGTCGGATGCTTTCCCCATACTGAGTAGCTCACAAGGCAGCTCCCGTTTGTCGGATGCCTTCGCCTTGGTTGATAGGCCCTGCTGTACGGCTGTACGGCTGTGCGGTACCTTGCTGGTACCGCTATAGCAACCAAAGAAGATCTTCTCATAGCGCTTGCTCTCCAATTGGTTGATCTCATTACCGGTGTATGGGAGGAAGTCTCTTTGCTCTCTGAGACTGCTAACTACTTTGGGTACCCAGGACCGCAAAAAGATACCCTGTTCCGGTAACAAAAAGCCCGTTAGCATGCATGGGCTGTGACGGCCTACTGGAAGTCCATGAGCAAAAGCCAGCAGAAACCCTGCAGGCGACACTTTTCCGTCAGCAAGCACAGAACTCGATGACCAAGCACATGTTTGTGCTGGAAAGGGATTGTATGTGCACAAGAAGATACTGGAGGTACCTCTAACTCCTCGTCGTAATCTAATAGATGGGAAGTCATCATGACCTCTGCCTTTGGAACAGTGTGATGGTCAACAATGTCGGGGGGAGATGGCGGATGGATAGCTCACAATTTGTTTCAACTGAGAACAAAAACGCCTTGAAACAACATGATTTGGAATCTCCGTGCATTCATTCTGAGCGCCTGGCTCATCGCCTTGGCTTCTGGTTGTGCGGATCATGACCATCACCATCATGAAGAAGACCACGACCATCACAGCAACCTCCGTGGGCTCAACGATGAAGACCACGAAGATCACCGCAACCTTCGCGGTCCCAACGATTCATTTAACATTGGGCCATTTCACTTTCGAAACTACCAAGAGTTCAAGGAAAGCGGACGACGTTGTGGTGCACATGCACCGACCGAGGACGAGGAGAAAGGCTTCAAGGAAACAATCATGGCTTTCCGGGCTGAACAGAGGAAAAGGCGGGGATCTGGTCGTGCGTTGCAGACATCCTGCTTTCCCGTGACGATCCCAACATACATGCATATCATTCGCAGTGATGGAACTGGTGCGGGAACTATCAATCCCCAAGAATCCATCGATGTGATCAACGCGGCGTTTCTCCCACACGGCTTTCAGTTCAATCTCATAACCACCACCATCACATTTGACACTTGTAAGTGAAGTACATACCAGTGCCTCACGCCCAAAACAATACCATCGTGTCGCTCACATACCGCTCTTTTTCTCCCAGCATGGTACCTTGGAGGTCAGGGCACTACAGAAGAATTTGCCATGAAGGATGCGCTCCGCGTTGGAGGAGCAGGAGATTTGAATATATATTTGACAGCCGGAGCCGGCCTTTTGGGGTGGGCAACTCTTCCTGGGCCTGGTTCTGCGAATTCGTATGATGGAGTAGTGATAGCCGATGAGACGATTCCTGGTAGGTTCCGTCTGCAGTGGGGATTCTCTTCGTGGCTTTCTCGCAGGCCTTGCATTGAACGCTAACACTGCCAATACTTGCTGTTTTGGACTTCAAGGTGGAAATCAGGCCCCGTACAATGAGGGCGACACTTTGACCCATGAAGTTGGACATTGGCTTGGATTGCTTCATACATTCAATGATGGATGTGCTGGTGGCGACGGAGTTGACGATACCCCTCCTGAGGCATCTCCAGCATTTGGTTGCCCAGCTGGTCGTGATACGTGCACCGAACCAGGGTTGGACCCAATCAAGAACTACATGGACTATACTGACGATTCTTGCATGGATGAGTTCACTCCAGGCCAAGCTGAACGCATGCAAGCATTGTGGTGTCAATGGCGAGTTGAAGGAGAATGTTGCGTCACACCGGAGCCAAGCAGCCAACCAAGCAGCACACCAAGTACCACGCCGAGTACCACGCCGAGCAGTACACCGAGCAGCACACCAAGCAGCACGCCGAGTAGCACGCCAAGCGCTACTCCGAGCATTGCGCCCTCAACAAGTCCCTCCGCTGCAGTACCTTCAGCGTCGCCCTCCGCCGAACCGTCCCAGCCTCCAAGCATTGCTCCATCCTCTTCTCCTTCAAGCTCCCCTTCTGTTGCGCCCAGCGGTGCTCCATCGTTGCCAGCAGTGCCTTCTCAGACACCCTCAAACACACCCTCGGCAAGCCCCAGTCATGCTCCCAGCATGACCCCAACAATCTCCAACTTTCCGTCCACAACTCCTAGCCTTGCACCCAGTGAGGCCCCTAGCGACACACAGAATCAGTGTAGTGTCGAGAACGAACCATGCTCGTGTAACGAAGACTGTTGTAGCAGTAAGTGCAGTCGAAGATACAAGAAATGCGTGGGAGGTCGAAGCCCTCGAAACCACAGTAGCAGTCGAAGTGGCAAGCACGATGGAAGCAGTAGTAGTCGAAGTGGCAAGCACGGTGGAAGCAGTAGCAGTCGAAAAGGAAAACCCTTTGGTGGGAAGCCTGGTCGCGGAAAGCCCAAGCCCAATGGAAAGCCTGCTGGTGGGAAGAAAAATGCCAAGCCTAGCCGACTCCAAAAGAAATACAAAAAGCTCAAGAAAGGTCGTAAAACCAACTGAGGGCAAAGGGCGTGGAAGTATTGATTCAAAGCGTTCATTCCGTCGAGGACCAAATATCATTAGTTGATAAAGAGCGCTGATAGACAAAGTTTGCATATTGAAAGGACCGGTCATTACAGGGACCCAACGATAGAAGTCCAATACCTGCCATCCATCAAAAATCCTCGACGACAGCCCAATGACAACATTGTAGAGACCTGACAGCGACGCAGGATAGTGCACAGCAAAACTTTTCAACCGATTCAGGCTTCGTCTTCTTCGTCGTCCTCTGTCAAAGATCCAATCAGCTGCACCAGATCCTTGAAGGTGCTTTTGGCGATTCGCTCACGCTTGTCTTCGTCTTTCTTGATATGCGACCCGTTCGGAATCACAACGCAAATCACCCAGCCGCGACGATCACGAATCAGGCGGACGAAGAGAGTTCCCGAGCGATGAACAAACTGCCGCGCAGCGGTACTGAGTCGCCTCCCAAAATCAAACTCGGCTCCGTTCTCGATACATTGCAGAATGGGCCTTGTCTGTGTGTAGAACACGCCATCGTTGATAAAATCCAGCGCCAAGATGGAAGTGTATAGGGCCTTTGCCTTGTCGTCATCGCGCACACAGAACGTTGGCGGAGACTTGAACTATGCAGATGAAAAGGAAACAAAGTGAGGAAGCAATGACCATCAAAGTGCATCCAAACCCAACAAAAACGCCGTACCGGGTCGAGCAAAAGATCTCTTGAGATCGACGTCTGCGGAAAGAAGGTCAAGCTCAGACCATACTGAGAGCAGCGCCGATGCAAGAGTTGTGCCTGTGTTTCCACCTTGCCGCTACTCGCAGCCAACCAGTTGAAAAGGATTCTGAATGACTTCAACGTCGAAAACTCCGAGTCTGTTGCCAGCTCAATCCATTCAAAGGGATCATGTTTGCCCTTGCGCAGTTGGACAGTGGATCGCTGCATTGAGTCAACGCCCGTGACGGCTCTCGTTTCATACAAGTTCGGCGCAGGATCTGTGCTCGATGTGATGTTAATACCCGACGCTTCAATACCAGAATCCCTTAGTTTGCCTAGGTACTCACTGAGTCTCTTAAACTTTGCGATGTACTCTTGTTCACTCTCGGCGTTTGTAAACTTGGGAGGAATCAGGCCAAACATAATGCGGCGGAAGCGCATTCCTTCCCTAAGAGATCTGTCATCGGCTCCGCAGATAATCCTATCGACCTTGTTCCAGTTGTACTGGTCTGCATATTTCTGAACAAGTGTAACATCACAGAGGAGCAAGACTGAGGCGAGTAGCCCTTTAGCACAGAAATGTTGGTCCGACGTAGCTCACCTTGAAAGTCTGGAGCAACAGCGACAAAAGCAGCGGTAGGTTGATAGATGAGACGTGACAGCTAATGCGTACAGAAGCAACTTATCCCAACAACGATCTCACCGCAACAACTTTTGTATATTTCTGCAGCAATGGCGAAAACAGAAGGTACTAAAAGCGTCGGATCAGCGGACGTGAGGTCACCAACCAAACAAGTATCCAAACGTCTTTGTAAAATACTGGTACAACGAACCTGATACTTGAAAGTGTTCAATTTGTCGTTTTGAGCATCCCTCTCGTTGAATCGCACAACCTCTATCGTGTCAGTGCTGGGGTCGTAGGTGATCTCTTGGAGCCTGAAACACGAAATTGTGAGGTCCGCTTATTAAGTATCAATGTTGCTGCCGAAGACGAAGCTCCTTCACTCACTGATGTCCCATAGTCAAGAAATGCTTGATTGGTCGCTCGTTTTCGTTAGTTTCTTTCGGTAGCTTGGGTATGACGCTTGAAGCACGTCCCGACCCGTAAGGAGCTGAAAAGACAAAACGTGAGCAATTCAAGATATTGCAAGTGTCAGGTGTCGCAGACAAGGAATATGTGTCTCACCACGCCCCATTGCAGGATTGGCCCTGTGAACGGTTTCGTCTACGCAGGACGGAGTGACAAGCTGGTAGTCTCTGCAACGTTGAGGGCATGTTAGCAAAAGCAGAGCCAAAAGGGCCCAGCAATATGTGGTACTCACTGCGAAATCCTTTGTCGCAACATCTCCATCATAACGTCTCCATGCGTGGAATACGGTGTGTTTTCAAAGTCAGACAGTGTCACGTTGTAAATGTTGAACTGGAAGTATTGATCGATTTCCTGTCTCGAAGGAAAGTAATCAACTGACAAAGGAAGAATAGCTGGACAGCAAAGGGACCGCCAAGCAGGGCCCGCATGCCTTTTGAACTCAACCTCGCCTTGTGGGAAAACATGTGACCAACGACGACGATTGTGGGACCGCTTCGCCAAGACTTTGTCTTCGTCGGCTTGCCGAAATGGATTGAATGCTTTCTTGCGGGCGTGGCGATGGGAAGTTGTGCTTTCACGATTGCGTTGACTTCGACCTTGGTTTCCTCTGTACATGTCACCGGCCCTCGGCGAGCTAGCCCCCACATTGGCCACGCCACTTCTGCTGGTGACCTCCTGTCGTTTATTAATACTGGTTCGCTGCAAAGAGGAGCCTCATTGAGATCCAATCGTCCACATCATGACTGTATTGTCCAATCGAACTTACCACTTCGGTAGTTGGCTCTACGAAGCTGGGTTGGGTTGACGCACCCACTCCCCTCCCGCTGTAGAGAGTGTTCAACGACCTTGAGCTAGCACCATCCCTGGCTCCTCCTAACGCCCTGAAGTCTCTTGGCAGCAGCCTGGACGCCAACTGACGATCCTCTGGGCGCACTAGATCGGGAGGATCCAATGAAGCACCAAAGGGGACTCCAGGTGGAGGCAACAAGAGAGGAGACATGGCACGTGCCCCCAAATCACTAAACTGTGGGTTTCTCGATCCCGACGACAGCGTTCGGGACGTGACGCCAACCCCATCGCCAGGGTTCATAACTCGGATTCTGTTAGAGACACTGTCGTTTACCCCGGCCATCACTTCGTGGGAAACAGTGTAGTGAGAGAGGGCCGCCCCGATACCCCCACTCTGAGTTGGCTCGTTTCCGCTACGATTTGCCGGAAAACTAAAGGAAAGTGAGGATGGGTCCGTCGTACTCTATTCGACTCGGGTCAAGATGCTTACCGATTCGATGGAACGCTCAGTGTTGGGGCCAGTGGGCTCATATTTCGAACCGATTCATTCAAAGGTTGATAGAGCTGCGTCCGGTTGATAATTGGATCTGCAGTTGGTGCCGCGGCGGTCTGAACTTCGAAGTAGTTCGAATCGTGCTTCGCCATGAGCTTTCTAAGCATGTTTGCGCTTCTGATTCGCTCCTTTTCGGCGGCCTTCAGAGATGCCAAATCCTCATCTGTGCCAGGGTCCATGTCAGGACCCATAGTAGACAACGAACCGTCGCTCTTGACGGTTTCTGTGTCATCGTGCCCATCAGCAAGAGTGACATTCTGTAGTGATGTTGCACGTTGCAGGTGAATGCCACCAAGGGATGTTCCCCCTTTTTGCCGCCTATCAAAATGCATTCCGACCAAACTACTAGTAGTGTAGCTGGATCCTGGGCTCGAAAGCACGCTCCCATCAGATCTTTCGGAATTTTTGTCGTGTAAGCCGAAGCTGCCGGATCTTGGTCGAATGACTTTGCAGGGCTCGTCGAGATCCAAGTCCATGGATGTCCATTCCCTGAGAGGCTTCAGCTCATCGGCGTCGCCGTCAAAATCTTCTTCATTTGCATCGTCGTTGAATGAATCTGAGACCTTTCGCTCAACTTTCTCGCATTTTCGATACATTTTTAGAATTGCCTGAAGGGCAGAAGGAATTGTACCGGAGTTCTTTGGCCTGCAAGCCTCGAGGATATCCAAAAAATCGCGTCCCTCGTTCAAAGCCCGCTCCTGGGGAACTGGTTTGACCTTTTCGGGTGACGATGCAGCAATGCCATTCACCGAAAAACTTGTTGGCGAGCTCGGATCAACCTTGACTTTCGATGGTATCAATGAATCAAAGGAGTCATTTTGAGGCAAAATGAAACCATTGGCCGCGACTTGTGGATCATTTCCTGTTCCCCGAAACTGTTTCAGCGCTTCTCCGTCAACATCTGATCCATCACATGAGACAACGCCACAACAGGAGTCATGCGAATAGAATCATCATCCCTGCAACACCTACCTCTGGATGGAATCTGACCAGCGTTCCCCGGATCATCTTCATAACTGATGAAAGCCAAATGCATCCAATGAGGAATCTCGTAGTATGTCTCGTTCGTATCCACTCCGCGACTCTCAACTGTGCGATATTCGTTCTACGGTACCGGAAGAAACAATGCAGCGGTAATGAGCAACGCTCAGCCGTGTTGTGATGTGCGGCTGACAGCAGAGTACTTACATTGTAGAGAAAGAATGGAGCAATGTGTAGCGGGGGGAGGCCAAGGCTGAGCATGTCACTCCCAATTCCGTTGTCCAGCATTCGTTGGAATGTAATGCTGGCCAATCCCTTGTCCACTTCAAAAACGCCACATCCAGGCGTGATAAGCACGATCGAGTTCCCCGTTCTATGGAGGTCTCGATCCAGGTAGTGGAACTGAAGAAGATTTGAGGTAATATTGATTGCCTCAAGCACATTGCCCTGACTGGCATTCGAAGGCCTCCTACCAAGGTCTCCCGTTGACAAATTCCACCTTTAGAAAAGAAAACAGCCAAAAGGGTCAGTTGACAGAGTCAAAGTCTCCTTCACAGTGTCGGCGAAGCGAAATACCTACCCGACTTCCAGCGGATACTTCAGAAACTCTTCTTTTAGCCGAACAACCAATGACTCCCGGTCTGCCCTGGTTTCATTCTCAATAACCATTTTGTAGTGATCCTTGCGTTCAATTATAGAATGGAAGGGGTGTAAGCCCAGATGGTTAAGAAAACCGTGCTTTTGCTTTGCTTCTAGCTAGCTTACCTCATAAGGGCGTCCATATACATCCCTACAATCCAAGGTTCCCCCGTCGGCGTTGACAGTGATTGCCTGTCGAGAACTCAGAAAAGTTCGGCTGAAGAAGACAACTGTCAAGGAGTGTGTCACTTCTAAAGCTTTCCACTTATCAAACAATCGGTACACAAACGAGATCCACCTGTCAAAGTAGATCTCGCAGACACTTTCATTCTGTTCACCCCTTTCTCGTTCGAATGGAGAGGCATAGTCAAAGCTCTCGGCTGCAATTTGAACCAGCCAGAAGATTCGCGATGAACGGCTCCGAAACGTTATCATGGTGTCCTCTGTAACGATGCCTGACTTGGCCGGTTGGTTCCCGTGGCGAATCAACCAAGCGTGTGCTTTGATCCCCTGCAATAAAAGTGCAGAGGAGGTAGACATGCCAAATGTTGGTTCGCAACAACCAAATGCAAAGCGGCCAACATCTTGAGAGACCCTTTACTTACTCTTGCTGCCTCGGAAAGCCGCTGCCCCTCGTAAACCCAACTCCCCACTAAGGACTTTTGAAACAAATGCATATCTCCCCGTGAAATGAATTGGTCCTTGATGGATAAAAGTACAAAATCGGCCGAGACAGCCGTCAGAACTGCAGCTTCATCCTCCTTGTCAATCCGATTGATGCTGACCATATCGTAGGACGACAAATTGTATAGATCTGCCACTTGCCGAAGCACGGACACTTGCGTTCGCGCCGATCCCTTCAAACTAGTCAGAGTCTTTTCTGTGACTTTGATGACAAAGCTGAACCTCATGACATGAGTCTTCCCAATCAGACTCAAGGTGTCATCTCCCTGTGTATTGTCGTCTTCATCATCACCACCACGCCCAGTTTCGGTGGGATCCTCTCGGTCAATAATATCCACTCCCAGGGGGAGATTGAAATCGAGAGGATTGTTGCTACTAGAGTTCGCGTTCCCCGTGGACGAGTGTTGCGATGATTGAGGTGGAAAGTTGTGCATCAAGCCATGAACCATAGAATCCGCAGTCATGTCCGAAATTTCACGGCTGTGGATGGGTTTGGCAGATCGTTTTCGTGATTCGTAGTACGCAGCAAACGATGTATCACCGTGGGTTGATGCTCTCGGTTGTAGGGGAGGCTTTGGCAGAGCGGCACCACTGGTCGATGGAAGGCGGGGCAACTCTGATTGAGTGCGTCGACTGGAGTTGCCAGACAGCAGAGCACCGCCAAAGATTGGTGGCTTGCCAGAGACAGTTGAGGTGGCATTATTTGTTGTGTTTGGCACGGTGATGACAGTTTTGGTGCATGGCAAACTGATGGGGGATGTCAGGGAAGCAGTTGACTCGGCACTCATAGTGTTTCTGTTTCCAGCAGCTCTGGTATCGTCTGCTGAAGCTGTGTCCTGAGTGTCTTTGGAAGGTGTAGGAGTCCTAGTCTGAGTAGTGGTTACGATTCGATGTAGCTCAGAGGTTGTGGCCTGTTCGTTCGTGGAGCAGTCAGAGTATTGCATGGATTCTGATGTATTCGATGTGGCTAGACTCATTTTCCGAGACAAATTGGAAGTCACAGACTCCAGTTGTGCCTTGGTTGTGATAGAAGGAGCTCCAGCACTAGCAGTAGCACCACCTAATGTCAAGACGTTTGAAAATCCAACTCCAGACATGGAAGGCGTTGCTATTCCAACCTTTTTCGAGGTTGCTGCTGCAACCGATGATTTCTGTGCTTCTGTGGATGCTGACCCCCCAGAGCTAACGGATGCCGCCGATCGTTTGCGAAAGACTGCCGATACACCTCCTGGGGATGGGTGTCGATTTTGAAGTGGGATGGGATCCCATACCCTGATTTCAATCATATCCCCCACTTCTAAGCGTCTTTGGGAGGCGCCAGTGTTTGTCACTCCTCCTGTCCAGGCAAGTTTTCCTCCATCGGAAGAAACTGCAGGCGCCAAGCCAACTGTTGGAGGAGGCTGACTGCCTGCTGATGTGGAGGATTGGGGCTGGCCCTGCTGTTGTGCGGAAGGATCCACATTGGTTGCGACGGTAGAAGCGGATCCAACAGAGGACACACCAGTTCCAGCCGATGGAGAGGGTCGAATGTTGCTAGGGTGTCGCGCAGAATTGCCAATGGATGTCACATTGTTGTGCCCATCAGCAGCAAACAGGTCGGGATGCAGAACAATTTCGGTTCCATCAAAAGTCAGTGCTTCATGCACGTTCAGGGACACCAATCCAGTCGTCAACATCTCGCCACTCCTCCACCAGAGCTACTGGTAGCTTCTTTCTTTCTTCGTCCTGGAAGACTCGAAGAAGTGGATCAGGTTGCCAGTGGATACGACTGTACCTCGGGAAGACTGGCATGGGTGTGCTGCTGGCTAGCGATAGAGGCAAATGGCGGTGGCAAGATCTTGAGGTTTGGTGAGTGAGGTAGTAGACTATACTAGCCTAGCTGATCAACCCTTAAGATATTTGCATTATTATTGCTGTTTCACATCCCGATCGCCGATCCAGAATCATCCAGAAATGCGACGAGCTTCAGCACAATAATCTGTCTGACAGCAAAAAGCGAGAGTTTTACGATAGAACACTGTGTTTGACCTAAACAAGCCTCCATGTCAGAGTTCTGGCGAAACTTTCTTCCCATGGCGGACACGAAGGCTGCTCCTACTTGCACCAAGGAGCAACCTCTCACTAGACCTATGGTTAGCTGCAAGACTCGCGATGAGATGCTGGCAAGGTTTTTGACGGTTGACAGTCTCAATGATATCATCCTTAAGGGCGATGATGGAGTTGAAGTAGCAGCCAACCGCTTCTTGCTTGCGGCACGGTCTGATGTCTTCATGGGCATGCTGCTGGGAAAGTTTCAAGAATCATCATCTACAATTGTAGAGCTTGGATTCTCAGGAAGTGTCCTCAGGGCAGTGGTAGAGTTTGTGCTTACTGACACAGCACAAGTCCTCAACTGCAAGAAGCGAAAGGCACCTGATTCAGAAACAGAAGATGTTGGCATCAGTCCTGAACAAATTGAATTATTTGTGTCATTGGCAGAGGCAGCTTCCTACTTTGATCTTGCTGGCTTGGGAGATATTGTTCTAGAATCTTTTGAAAAGATTCTGAAGCAAAACCCATGCTCATCTTTTGCTGCCTTGCAAGTATGCAGGATGGCAGAAAAGACAGTTCCAAAGGTGTTTGTTGAGAAGGCAAAGGCTTTTGTTCAAGAAACTCAGTATATATCAGTGTCCACCCATCATGTGGCCAGCTTGAGCACAGCTGTCATGAAAGAAATCCTCATGGACTCAGAAATGGAAATGTCCGAATATGAACTCTTCAAAATCCTAACTCTTTGGGTTGATGCTGACCCCAGTAAGAGAAGGGAACAAGGAGTTCTCCTCTCCAAACACATTTCCTATGGAAAAATAGATATTGAAAAGCTGACGACATCAGTAGCTCCATCAGGTTTGGCTACATTGGAGCAACTAAGCGAAGCATACAAGCACCAAGCACTGGCACTCAAGAAACACATGCCATCAGCACCCCTCCAAACACATCGTAAATCACATTGGGTTTCCAAAAGGCCCGACTTTTGTTGTGAGACAGAAGTTCCAATTGCAATCAAAGTTCAAGAAGCTGGTACAGAAGCTGTAAATGGGGTGTATATGCGAGATGGGACACGCAACCAAAGACCCAAATATGCGATGGAAGGTTCCTACAGGGGCAGCCAATGTGTCTTTTGGCTCTATAATGGGGGTTCGAGCTGGGGTATTGTCATTCACCCCCAAGCAAACGCCGAAGCAAACGAACAAGGAGGCCGCCGGGCTTCCGAATTCTACAAAGTGAAAGAGGATGCGACAAACCGCGATGTCCCACCAAGCCAGGGGTGGGTTCGACGAGATCGTGGTGCCGGGTCATCTCCAAATCTACTATTCAAGTTTTATTGATGGACTTCACAGACCTGTCTCTGGTGCTGTCTTAGAACGTTCACAATCTACGCGCACTCAACTTTTCAATACCGGTACCTTACGCTTCTAATATTCTGGTTTATGAATTATGAAATTTGGTATGAATGGTTGACGCCTTTGCCACTGCCGCACGATCCTTCAGCAAACTTTTTCCAATCGAAAGAGGCAGCTGCTTCTCTCTTGGCACTAGTCGCCGATTCCGACTTGGACTTAGGAGGTAACTGGGATCCTGCGTGGTGATTGTGATGGCGGGTACGATTGCTTCCGGGGGGCTTGGATGACAAGTATCTTTCAGAATCGTCTACCGATGCCGACCGCTTGCCGGCACCGTCACTGCGATGAGAGTGAGAAGCAGGAGGCAGATTGTTTCTGGGGGGTGCACGTGGTCTTTGACTAGCTTCAGGTTGCTGCTCGGGAGCAGGAGGCAGACTGCTTCGGGGTGGTGCGCGTGGTCTTCGACTATCTTCCGGTGCCCGCTTCTGCTGCTGCTCCCGAGCAGGGGGGAGTGCATTGCGCGGTGCCGCACGTGGCCTTCGACTCACTCCTGATGTCTCCTTTTGTTCGGGAGCAGGAGGCAATGAATTGCGTGGCGGTGGTCGTGGTGTGCGGAAACCAGGAATCGACGGTCTGTGTTGTGCAAACACCTTTTTGGATCCAAGCGAGCTGCTTCGTTGGGGGTTTGTTGGGAACGATGGACGCTGTCTGCTACTGGTGGCAAGGGCTGCATCAGCCGCCAAACCGCTCACCCCCAGAGATTTGACACGTCGGGGCAGTGCCTGGGGAGTGAATTTGCTACTTCCGCCCATGGACCCTGTGCTGGCACGAGGAGCTGGTTCCTCAGCAGAACTAGTTTGGGACTTGGAATGTGGTGGGAGTGTTTGGGGTGTGAGCTTATCCACCTTTTTGGATCCAAGTGAGCTGTTTCGTGCGTTTGTTGGGAGCGACGGTCGCGCCCTGCCACTGGCCAATGCTGCATCATCCGCCAAACAACTCGCCCCCAGAGACTTGACACGCCGTGGGAGTGCCTGGGGAGTGAATTTGCTACTGCTGCCAGTGGACCCTGTGCTGGCGCCAGGAGCTGGTTCCTCATTGTCCCCAGTTTGCAACTTGGAATGTGGTGGGAGTGTTTGGGGTGCAAGCTTACCCACCTTTTTGGATCCAAGAGAGCCTCTTCGTGACGAGTTTGTTGGGAAGGACGGGCGCACCCTGCCACCGCTTTGCTTGTCAGTAGCCAATGCTGCATCAGCCGCCAAACTGCTCGCTCCCAGAGACTTGACACGCCGTGGGAGTGCCTGGGGAGTGACTTTGCTACTGTTGCCAGCGGACCCTGTGCTGGCACGAGGAGCTGGTTCCCCGTCATCACTGGTTTGGGACTTGGAACGGGGAGGGAGTGTTTGGGGTGTGAGCTTATCCCGGAGAGCGCTGAAGTCGGTACTATTCGCAAGGTCACTAAAAAAGGCAGCAAGCGGAGTAGAAGCCATAGACTTGTTGGCTTCCTTCTTGTGGAGATCATTGGACTTTGTGACAGCATGGCCACTGCTCCCGGACTTTGATCGTCGTGGCAGTGTTCGTGGTTTGCTGCCGCCGGCACTACTGGACCCGGTGCTGGCCCGTGGTTCCTCGTCCTCAGCATCGAGTGACCTGGTACGTCGTGGCATTGGTTTGGGCTTGTTAGTGCGACGCATCGACCCGGTGCTAGCGCGAGGTGCTGGTTCATCATCGTCGCCACTGGCTGCAGGATCCGGTTTGTTCAATTGCACACCTGCCGCTGCCGCCACTGCCGCCATCCGTGTCCCATGCAAGCGCGATGCCACTGCGGCATTGGGAAGCTTGGGAACGTTGCGACGGCGAGGAATTCGAGCCGGAGACATGCTGGATCCAGCAGAGCCTCCCAAAGTCGTAAACGTCTTTCGGATCTTCTGCCGACGCTCCGACCGCGACGGGGAGGCGGAGGAACTTCTGGACATGGGTGACAATGCTTGAGACGACGACGAGTCCAACAAGTCGGCCCCACCCAGCTTCTCGCCCAGATTCGATACAGCACGCCGAACCTTGGCCCGTCCACTCTTATGAGTGGTTGTTTTCTCTTCTGTTTCGATCACTGGCTGTCCAATGTTTGCCAAGACGTCTAGCAACTGCTTAGACCTGGCACCTTCAGTTTCCTTGTGGTTTTCGTTCTTGGACGCGTTGACGTGGTTTCGCGCTTTGGGTGCTGGATCTTCCTTTTGCGGTTGTACAGGAGTCTGTTCTGCTGGTGGTGTGGGATGATCTTTCTCACATCCACTCTTTTCAGTGGTTGTTTTCTCTGCTGTTTCGAACGCTGGCTGTCCAATGTTTGCCAAGACGTCTAGCAACTGCTTCGACCTGGCCCCTTCTGTTTCCTTGTGGCTTCCACTCTTGGACGCGTTGACGCGCTTTTGTGCTTTGGGTGCCGGCTCTTCCTGTGGCAGTTGTACATGAGTCTGTTTTGCTGCTGGTTCGTCTTTCTCAGGAATCTCTGGCTTGTTGTGTTCTTTCTCAATCTCGACCTGACTTTTCATAGAAGGTTCAGGACCCCTGTCAGCACTGCTGGTGTCACTGGTGCGAGCTGTTTGGAAGCTGTCATCTCGCAAGGGCTCTCTGTCACCTTCAATGTCGTGCTGAGAAGCACCCAAAAGAGTCTTCTTGGAAGAACTGCCTCCCAAGAGCTTGAGGTACTTTTTCTTCTTCTTTCTGGCTCTTCGCGATAAAAGACTCCTTCCACTGGAGGAAAGGGAGACTCGGCTGGAATCATTCATGGACATATCCATGGAACTGACGCTCATGTCGCTGGCGGCCAACAGATCCGGTTGACTACTGCACATGATATCGTCCAGCTGCAGCTCTCCTTCTTCTTCGTGCTTGTTGTTGTTGTCATCATTTTCGGCCAAACCAACCAATTGCCTCTTGGCGTTCTCTTGCAATCTCTCACGGACACGATTATCCAAGGAGTTCTTGACCTCATCATCATAAGGTGAATGGTGATCAGGCAAGCTAATATCAGGCACTAGTTGGATGCAGCTCATCATCTTTGGTTCGTTGTGTTCCTGGGCTCGATCGCCTTGATAGCTTTATTGTGATGGCGACGAGAGATTCTCCTCTTGGAATGCAGAAGCTGGGTCTAACGAGCTGGCGGAAGCACACGAAGCAACTACATGTAACTGTTGAAAGCTGGTCGTCTGGTCGTAGACTGCAGCTTTGAGCTGTTGAGCTATCGGAAAAGTGATCAACAAGCAGAACTCCACTTATCCCGCCACTGCCCCGACGAAGCCAAATTAAGCCCGACACAGATCAGTAAACTAGTTCCTCTTCGCGGGTTTAAGGAGCATCTCGAAATACCAGACTGACTTTAAATCTTATTTTTACCTGAGAAACTAGTGACATAAGCGAAAACACCGTTCTGTCCTTCCTGGCCTCCTCTACTGTAGTGAATCGAATCTGTCCTTGGGTTTTAAGATAATGTTATCTACTCATAGATAACTAGGTCCAGTCTATTTGTGTGGGTTCGAACGTTCGACCCACCAAAAGAGTCAATGATACCGGTACCATTGGTACCATCTCATCTGGCCACTAGCTAGCCAGCTACTAGAGTACGATCTTCATGAAGTTTCGTTGGTGAAAAGATCCTGTTTTCCATCACACTAGCTAGCTACTAGTACCTGGAAGTAGCTTTAGTAGCACTGTGAGATTCAGACACCCAATATAGTAGCACCTCAAGATTGCCAGAAGAAGAACATTGGGATATCACTTACCTAATACTACTATGCATACAGAGTAGCACCTGCCTTCTGCAGATAGAGAATCTTGCAAAGTGATGTATGTTTTGAAGAGTCCAACCTCCTCGTTGTTTGTCATACCTGGTACGTACCAGGTACTGGAGCCGGTACGTATTGTTCTCGCTCATATTACGATTGTACCGCACGCAGTCTGACTAGCTAGACTACTAATACTGTAGTTCCCGAGATCCGAACAAATAATACACCCGGTAGTGGTGGCTGTTGCCAGGCAATTTTAAAATCTTACACATGAGGTATAAAATGCTCTTACTAGGTCGACCAGAATGACTTTCTTGCTCTTTCTCTGTTCTGAGGTCCTTAAAGGTATCGGTAGAACGGAAACAGGTTTTTAAATCTCTGATTACCTTTTGTAATTAGCAGCAATTTTCGACACTGGATACCGGTACCGGTAGACTGGGTTTCCGGCCTCGGCATGGCCTACGACCTGTACGGTACAGCTGTACGAGTACTATTAAGCGCCCTCTGACCGCTGACCACATGCCACACAGCACACAGTCACAGAGTAATAACGTAATAACCTCATCATCAATAAGAGACAGCTTGGCACCAGAAGCAGGCGCCATCGATATCTAGTAGGAAGTAGTAGTATCAGACTATGGAAGCCGTCGAAGCACAAGCAGTGGTGGAACCAGAGGAAGATGCCTCGCATCAGGAGGAGCAAGAGGAAGAAGCGCAGAGGAGGCAGCCCCAACATGCCAGCCACCGGAGCATCTCTGCACTGGGCCCCACAGATGAGGGTCGGATGAACTTGTCTGCTGAAGAGCATGAATGGGCCCTGGCCATCAAAGAAGCACTCATGGCCAATCCAGAATTGGAAGACAAACCATCGGACTTTATGATTGCCCAGCTAGCGATTGTGCATCACAATGACATTGAGACGGCCATGGAAACTGCCTTTCGCATTCAAGAGACACGGGAACAGTACAAAATTCGGGACACCTACCAAGATGCCTACGAAAAACTCACTCGCAGTCTCGAACTGCATTATGGCACTCACATGTACTTTGGATTCAACCACGAAGAGGCTCGCTATGTCGCCGTCTTTGATATTGGGCGTTTCGATTCTCGCGTCTCCATGAATCCGCGCAATGCCGAGTATTGCTTTGGAGGGGGTTGGTATTGCTACCATGCCATGTCACCCGATTTTGAATCCGTCCGACGAGGAGCCATTATTTTGATGGAATGTCAAGGATACGATTGGTCGCAACGACAAGTTGATTTGCAATACGCGCAGCGACACTGGAGCGATGTAGCCGGAGTCTATCCGCTCATGATACACCGATTCAAGTGTTTTCACACTCCGACTGTATTCAATATTGTCAAGGCCGTGTGCAAGAGACTGATACCGTCACATATCGAGCGCTCGGTGCAGTTGGGATGCCAATACAATGGACGATTGGATGCACTCTACTTGGTTCCGTCGGTCGAAGCCGCCAGACAACGCGTGCTGGTCCGAATGTTGGAATGCCTCCAGCGACGGTTTGCAGCCGAACAGTCATTTAGGTTGTAACAAAAATAAGGGTGAAAGATTCATTGGGAATGAGGATCACTCTGTCAGCAAAACTCTCTATGTTCTGTCTTCGCTCTGCGATCACTGCAGTCTATTCTATTTTAATCTTTGCAGGGCATTACCTAGCTAGCCCCTAGCCCATCCTGTACCACCTCGTACTCGACCCCCTCATCGTGCCTCTCTCTGTCGACGTCCCGAACAAAGAGGGCTGTTTGGTTCAATCACCACAGGGGCGATCCAAGAAGGAATAGCCCGATCCCTCCTTTTTCTTGGTAAGATTCAACTGAAATTCGTTGCCCACACGACTGACATCATGGCTGTAACATCTAGCTAGAAGCCTTCGTCTTCTCCACCAGCAGTATATGGAAGCTCCAGCCAATCTCCAGACAGTATTCGTAGGTCGGTTTCACAATCCGGTCTGTGGTAGATGTAAGCATCCAATGTGTCACCCTTTGCACCGATAGGGATACCGACAGACCGTTCCGGACCATCAAGCTTTATGGTACTAATAGTCCGCTGGTACAAGCCCGCGCCATCGAGTTGGAAGCCATGGACGCGGTTCAAGTGGCGAATCTTGGCTCGAAAAACAAGAGGGTCTGCCGTGAACACCCATCCCTTGACATTGTTTGGCTCGGTGCCGTCATCATTCTTATCGTCAAAGACCAAGCAGGGATAGCTGTCGAGGTATAGCTTGGCACCGGCAACGGTGGCTGGTTGAGCCCTCATTCCATGGAGTACATTCCTGGTCCAGGGAAGGCCAGCCGTTGAATCAGGGCGAAGATTTCCATAGCAGAACACATATTGACATTCACTTTCGCGTTCCCTTGTATGTGATGAAGTACACGTAGTATTCCACAGCGAATCCAGTTCTCCACGAGTTGTGTCTGTCGTCCTGATTTGACAGACAAATTTATCAATCTCTTCTCGGTTAAATTCATTGAGCAGAACTCGAAGGACTCGTTCTTTGTCACCAATGATGGATGCCTGGGCATCCAGGATACTCGTTTTCTGGTCGCGAAAGAAATTTGGGCCAGTGATAATGGAACAAGCTGGAAACAGTCTATACTTCCTGGCATACATGAGCTCACAGCAACACCATATTCGACTGAGCACATCCATGTTATAGTTGCGCACCACGCAAAATAGAGAAGCTGATTGTAGTGCCTGGACAAAGGGAGCTTCCTCGAGAGGTTGGTCCTTTGATCCAATGAGCTTGGCCATCACCTCATCACAGGATGTTTGCACCAGAGAAAAGGCACAGATCCATAGATTAGGTTGTCTACCTGAGTTCTGGAAGACATTGGATAAAGACTGGACGAAAGCAGCAAAATAACCGTCCCATGAATGGCTGCAAAAAATATCGACGGGAAGTCCTTCTTTGTTCAGTGTCAGGGCGTAGGAAGTTCCGGACTCGGCACAGATAGGTTCGATGATTTCTCGGACGACATCCCGCATGTTCATGCCATAGTATCGGTCAGGTCCAAATTTAGTTGATGCCTGGGTGGCTAGATCCATCAATTGTTGATAGGATATGCACCACATGCTGGGATGGAGAACACTTGAACTTCCAGCAGGGGTAGCCGCTTCCACAAACACGTCCAGGCTTTCTTCCACAAACTCGTCCTGGCTTTCTTTGGGGCCATTGGCGTTTTTATCAGTCAGGCTGAGCATGGAAAGCTCCTCATCAATCATGCTTATATCCGACTCAGCAGCAATGATGCTCTGGTCATCATCTCCATCTCCTGGGCAGTGAGCCCAATCGAAATTGAGTTGCTCGATAGGCAGAACAGCTCCAGAGGCAATCATTCTTGCATCATCGGGCAGCGACATGAATGGCCCCCAGGTTGTGGCGGCGGGGTCTATGGGCATGCAGTCCTGAAAAGTTGTTCCGGTGGATCCACCGTAGTGGGACCCCAGATCCATCACGGATGGAAGGGTAGTGTCGTCGTCATCTCGCATGATTGGGCCAACCTGGCCGCTGTCTCCGGCAAAACTGGTCTAGTCCGTAACGATCACACGAGCCTTTGCTTCGTTCAGGCAGGAATGCTGAAGACGATCTCGAAACGAAGGCGACAAAACCCAAGCTGGAGCTAATCGAGAAGCAATCCAAGGGACAAGACCCGTGGAGAGATTGGTGCTTGGTGCTGTTGGATTAGGCATCGCGGAAAAAATATGGAGATCTTCTAATCTGCTGGAGTGCACGTCTCGTTAAGCGGCCCTGGCACCGTCGAAGACGCTGGCTTATATGTCGGAAGCGGGTTTGAAACCATTTCACCCCACCCCTAACTGATTTCCAGACGCAGAATTCTACAACATACTACTAGTGTCTCCTCTACTGGCTCAAATCGTTACGTCACAACAGAAAATTGTTACGAAACTACACCAATCACTTACTGTACCACTTGCCGTAAAAAGTGAACATAAAATTCGAATTCGAGAAGTGTCCGTTGTAGTTTCGTAACAAGAATTATTATTTTAGTACCAGCAACAGTAGGATTCTACCTGGCTTCTCGCTTTTTCAAATTCAAACATAGAACAAACTCAACAACGGCCATCGCCAACATCCACAACAAGAGGAAGTCAACAATCGAGGTGAGGCATCAACCTAATCACCCAACTCAGTCACCTCTTGCTTGTCAGGGTGAGCCTCAAGGATGTGTGCTCCCATACAAGGCTGACCAGACTTGCTGCAGATCCAATACTGCTTTCCAGAACTGTCGGGTTGCCACTTCTGACACTCTCTGCACACCCAAGTGGTGTAGCTGTTGCAGATGACGCATCGGCCTTGTGACCTATGATTGGGCTTCTTGTTCTTGTAGCGCTTGGTTGGTGTAGGAGAGACATACTGCTTTTCAGCAGCAATCGAAAAAGGATCATCACCATTCTTGTCGACAAAGCAATTCTTGTCAGCTGCTTTGGCTGCAGCCCTTGCAGTTCTCTTCCTCAGAGCACCCGGATTCTTGTCTTTCAAAGTCTGGAGCGGCAGTTTCTTCAGCTTTCGCTCCTCCCCAACAATATACTCCGCTGTAATGAAGGTGGTTGCTCTCTTGCCTCCCTCCTTCGTCTCCTTGGAGATAGACAGTATCTTGCCCTTGAGCCATGTCTTGTTGATGAGAGATCCATATATTCTTTTTGCATCTCGCGACACAGCGGCGGCATGAGCCCAGCAATGACCACCTACTACTCTTCGAGGATCCGTCTCTGGCATCTTGACAACAACAGTGGAAGGAACCAGGGAAGATAGTGCGTCGACAGCTGATGAAAAGCACCATCTTGATAGCTTTCTTTGGTATCGAAATCGAAAGGAAGAAACAATGAAGAATTTGGCCGCACGATTGCAACCTCCGATCTGGCCAAATTTGTATGTAAATATACAGCCATGAAGCCAATCAAACCCGGCCAGGATCACACATGACGTTAACTATAGTATGGAGATTAGAACGAAACGGTTGGAATGGGTGGTCCGAATGGCAGCAGGGGCTATATGATATACATATCTGGTGATATTATGTAACAACAATGTTGTTATGTAACAACGTTAGGGGAGTAAACACTAGCTAGCTAGCTAGTACCAGGTACTGGTGACAGGGGGTAGAGAGCACTACATACAGCCTGTGCATATGAACAGGATTTTTAGAGAGCCAGCCTGCAGTCAAATTTTGGCCTGACAGGCGACGCGATTCCTGTGCAATTGAACAGGCGACGTGATTCCTGTGCAATTGTACAGGATCGACGCGATTCCTGTGCAATTGTATAGGATCGACGCGATTCCTGTGCAATTGTAAAGGATCCGACCTCCTGTTCAATTGCACAAGCGCCTGTGCAAAATGCACAGGAGCTTAAGCATAAGAACAAGAACAACTGATCCTTTCACTACTACTACCACCACTACTACCACTATCATATCTGGCTCTTGCATTCATTTGTGGCTTGTGGCTTTGGGTTTGTCACTGAGAGATTTGGACTTCATTTCTCCTGATTTCTTTTTCATTATCTGAGAAGAGGAAAACACAGGAAGTTACAACCATATATTCTTTGCAGAGCACATGCTTGACTGTAATGCTGAATGTAATGGCAGATCTATGTGTTACTGTAAAAGCCTACCCAGAAAAAAACGTCACAATTCCTGTGCATTTGAACAGGACGTCGAGCTCCTGGTATGTACAGCCTCCTGTACATATGAGCAGGCAGGCCGTCCATTTCCTGTGCAATTGAACAGGCGTCGCTATCCTGTTCGATTGCACAGGCCGTCCATTTCCTGTGCAATTGAAGAGTCGTCGCTATCCTGTTCGATTGCACAGGAAATTGGACGTTTTTGAATTCAGGCCAAAAAAATGGCTGGCCTTGCTCTCAATCTGCGGGCATCCTCCCTGTTCATATGCACAGGCTGTATGTAGTGCTCTCTACAGTACCAGAGACCCCTGTCAGGCAGCAGCACCACCCCTCACCAAAAAAGGGATTATTTGACCATACAGGGGCAGTTTTCCCTGGACCTACAGGGAGACAATCAAAGGCACCAGCAACCCGTGTAGTTTGCAGATAGTTCGAAGAGCGAAGAAAGGCAAGAATTTCTGGTACAGATGGCGAGAAGCTGAACGTTCCGCTCTAATATTGTGGCCGTCCCGTCCACTTGCCATTTACAAATTGGGTTGCTGCATTCTCACCGTCAGAACTTGGTCCCAACATGTACTGTAGTTCAGCACGAAGCAGACTACACAAGAGCACATTTTGAATTACAAATCTCATTGTAGATTCTCTAGCTACGTGTAGTTAGTACTCTGTTCTTGCAAGTTCAAGCAAGCTCAGCGCTCAAGAATGCTCGGATGGGAAACATGCAGCGGCACTGCATTTGCAGGTCATCTATAGACGTGTATTCATTTCGGACTTCCAAGTTCAGCGTTCAAGTTTTCGAAGCTTCGAAGGGGGCAACCTGCTGCTGCAGCCACAGCAACCAGCTTTGTGCTGGAAAGCCTTGATCCCACCCTTGTGAGTGGGACTGGTTTCGTGACACTCAGCCTAAGGGGCACGTGGATCGCGGCAGCAGTTGGGCTCTTGTTACCAATTCTGTCCAACTGGGACATGGATTTGCCAAGTTTGGTAAAAGCTCTTTGAATGCTTTCTCTGCGGTTTGACCGACCGGAGGACGGAGAGCTCCTTGACAGTGGAGATGTCCTGCCCTGGAGGGAGGTTTTTGACAACTCCCGACATTGCCTAAAGCTCAGGCTAGCAACAGCCCTCCGAAGTTTGGCTGTGCGTTCAATGCCCTCCAGACATGACAAAGTTTCAAGATATTTCGACTTGGATCTGCTGAAGAAACCTTCCCTTGAACCCCCAAGCTTGTTCAACGAGAAGTTGAAGGAACTTTCGTTTGAAGCGTCTTCGCTGGTGTCATCCTGACTTGGCTTGCCAATTTTGTATTCTGCCTCGTTTGGAGCGTCAGGGACCATTTCGTTCTGTTCAGCTTGAACACCTTCGCACTTCTTCGTGGAGCATTCCTCGCTGTTTCCATCTGAACTGCCATCTTGGGGTTCAGTATCATTCTCACTTTCCGAACTGATAGAGCTGTCCATTTTGGATGAAGAAATCATTTTACGGTATTTCTGTTTCTTCTTCTCCACCCGCTTCGCACTTTTCTTGGATTGCTTGCTTGCTGAATGCCTGGTGCCTTTGGATTGTCTGTAATGCTCTTTCGAAGCAAAAGTCGCGGCCCTTGGGATAGCACCATCATCGTCCGTCGGAGACGAGACATTCTTATCCAGACTGCTACCCTTGACAGCTCTGAGTGCAATCTTGTCCAAGGAAACCACGCTTTTGACATCGCAGGGTGCCTTCAATTGGTCCTCCGTGTTGGTTTGCATGTTGGCTGTCCTCTGGTTCTCTGCTTTCAAGAAATATTGTGAGCATTGTCGATTGAGTGCCTTCTCAAAACGACAAAAACCATCGAAGTGTGAATACCCATGATCTCTAGCTAGGGTGCTTGTCCCTCCTTGAAACAATACCCCAGCTAGCTAGCTGGTGTAAAGATGGCTCGGTAGAAGCAGTCTAGGCAAGACGACATTGCGGACAATCTATCTCTAGAGTGATACATGTGTAGCCAGTATGACCGTGAGACAGAGAGCCTTCAGATCGGCAGGTTCCACTCAAAGAACGGTACGGTAGCCAGCAGCGGCTACAGGTAGACTACTGTACCGGTGGCTCCACAACAGACTAGCTGGCTAGTAAGAGTAGAGACGTAGAGACCGCGACCAAGCTTGAACCACTGAGAACCAATTAGCAACTGACATAACGTGACCAAAGGTAGTTAGGAAGGCAAGGAACAATTCCGAGGTGATCTGAGGACGAATCGTCCTTGCATGCCTTTTAAAAAAATAAAAGTGCCGATACTGTCATCTTCCTGCTGCACATCCGTCGGTGGAGCTGTCGAGTGGTACTTGCCATGGTTGTCTCCTCGTTTATTCTCTTCACCGCAATAAAAGCACCATCGCGCTGTGATAGGCAATGAAGGAAACACCCCACGACAGTGATAGCTAATGCTGCTATGGTTGTGCTGCGCTTCTTTGATGCATATTTGCATATTTGAAGGGAAGACAGCCATCGTATAGAATGCATGGCTCAATGATGGTTGAGGCATCAGCTTCACCCAGTCACTTGGCGGTCATGTTGCACCTTGGCAAGGACTCATATTGAATGGTGGGATTTGGAAGAGTCTTTGTTTCTTCAAGAATACCGGTACTTCTTCTTGATACCGGTACAGCACGGGCTTGCCCAAGGTTTGACAGCAAGACTCCCACAGTCAGAGGTAGGAGAAGTTTTTATACAAGGCTTCCTCATGAGTATTGTTTGGTTCTTGTGGATGCTTGTGGGTCTCCCTCGCATGGATGCTTCGCCCTTACCGTGTTGCAAGCTCCTTCATCGCGCTTTGGGTGTTGCCGCCAGCATAAGACTACCATGACCGGTACGGCGGTACCGGTACATGTGCGTGTGCCGTACGGCTTGCTTGAAAACGCTACAGAAACCGTGACTCGACTCACTCGACTGAGTAAAGTCCGTCTGGCTTGGTCCGTGATCCTTCTGCCTCCAACCAATTTTTCTTCCCAAGCCAAACCCCACGAAGACGTCAACAAACGACAAAGAACAACATCCACAAGAAGAGGAAGAAGGCTCAATAACAACAGCCAAACCCAAGAAAAACTGAGCAATAGAAGCACTCACCAACTAGCTAGCTAGAATACCTTCCCTGAAGTTGCCCTGGAAGCCCCTCTCTTGAACCAAGCTCCTATTTTCTATAGTATCTATTTTCCAAAATGCGGATTGAAAAGTGTTATTTCTGTTCGTCCCCGTGCTACCCGGGCCACGGCATGGTGTTTGTCCGCAACGACTCGAAGCAATTTCGATTTTGCCGTTCGAAATGTCATCGGAATTTCAACAAGAAGCGCAATCCCCGCAAGGTGGCTTGGACCAAGGCGTACCGCAAGACGCGTGGGAAGGAAATGGCGGTGGACAAGACGTTTGAATTTGAAAAGCGTCGCAACCGACCCGTCAAGTACGATCGCCATTTGATGGGCAAGACCATTGTGGCTATGGCACGCGTCGACGAAATTCGCGGTGCCCGAGAAGAACGATTCTTTGCCAATCGCATGAAGGATGCCAAGGCTGAAAAGAAGAAACAAGCTCGTGTGGAAATTGAGCAATCCATTGAATTGTTGGCACCGGCTGTGGCCAAGAGAGAAGAAGTCATGCGCAATGTCGTCGATCGAGCGAGGGCTCGTATTGCCTCGAGGAAAAAGGCACGTGGAGAAAAAGTGGAAACAAGCAATGCGAGGAGTGTGACAGCAACAGCCATGGAGGAAGGTTGAAGTGGCAAGACAGCAATTCTCTACTCTTGATCCAATCATCCAATCTATCCGTGAAATAAATGTGAGGAGTTCATCAGGGACACAACAATAATCAGTTCTAAAAGCTGGTATTCTACGTGGCTTCTATGGTCTTGAGCCATTATCTGCTTCATAGCTAGTTCTGGATTGCTTGGGAGATTTGTTTGAGGAAACTCCCTTTTACTTCTGGATTAAAAACAAATACTACATTTATCCCCAGATTCATTCATTCATGCACACTTTAGTCTTTTGACAGTTCCTGGCTTGAAACAAACATGTATGTACTTTTTTAGACACCAGGATCGACGACACGGACACCCTTGGCCTCCATAGTGTCCAGATTGACCAGCACCACCTTGCCCGAGTCGGCAAATCGAGGAATGCACACCAAACGACATGTCGTCTTATTTTGGGTCATGACCTCTGTTGCAAACTCATCGCAATTGCCGGCAAAATAGAGATGAGGTGTTTCCGGAAGGACCATGGGATCGGTTTCGGGATGCGGCATGGTAGGGACCGAATCGGGACCGGTGGGACAAATGTGGCCGCACTGGAGCGTGCGACGCAGGGCTTGCAAATGAGACACGGGGACCATGGTTGGTTCCTCGTTTGACTCCTCCTCATTAGTATTGTCGTCCTTTGACTCCTTTGTTGTCGAGTCGTCCGACTGTTTCTCTTCTTTGGCCGGTTTCAATAAGTGCCGTGCCAAATCGGTGGCATTGGTACCATCCGTTCCCAAAACATACTTGTTGGCATGCATGGCGCCGTAAGGATTGGGAACGCGGGAGACCAAATGAGGGACCTTGCGGTCGCTGTATTGGAGCAAGGATTTGTGGAGGGGACGTTGGGGCCAATTGGCCGTGGTGGGATCGTCCTTGCCGGGTAAAATATCCACGGGGACATTCATGGCGCCCAATTGCAAACAAAATCCATCCAACTCCTTTAATGCCACGGTAGGATGCTCGTCGTGAAGGACGGTACTGCCACCCGCAATAATGACATGGGAAATCGTACCACCGCCACTGTTATCACCAAAGGATCCCCGAATGTAATCCAACAACATTTGGCGCTGCGCCGGTGCCAAGGAGGGATCGCCACAATGCAATCCGGAAATCAACAATAAATGAGGATTGCCCAATGCCGGAGGCTTATTTTTGCTATCGTCTGTAGTAGCAGAAATTGTTGTGGGATGAGGTGGCAATGCCGGAAAAAAGACACGCTCCACTTGAAAATGTCCATGTTTGCCCACGGCACCCAGCAATCCCAAGACCATGCCGGTCGCAAAATCATGCACATTTTCCACGTCAATATTGGCACGGCCACTCTCATCTTCGATAAAGAGAGATTGAGACGCTTGGCAGCGTGATTGGGGATGTACCTCTTGACCGTTGCCTCCTTCTTTGACCAACGTGCCCACTACTACCGATCGCACATTTTCGCGCAAATCCAAAACCCGATCCACCTTGACCACATCTTTTTCTTCTTCACTAACCGCCTGCCAACAGCGAGGTTTCAACGCTGTCAATCGCTGGTGATAGACGTGGGCGTATTGACGTTGGTAGGGATGCAGGGTGGTCTTTTGCTTGGTCTTTTGCTGACTGACCGCCGATTGCGTGCTGTGCACCATCAAGGTACTCTGGAACCGCTGCCATTTCGGTTTGTGCTCCGAGTAAGCACGTTCCTTGCGCTTGCCTCCAATGGTGAGTGTCATGGTTGGTTGGTTTATTACTGTACTGTAGTCTACTCAATAGATGGATGTAGACAGAAGATGGCGGGGGGTGTTGTGGACTTTTGGTTGTTCTCTTCCGCGGAATAACAATAATATTGCGACAAAGCCAATGACAGAGTGGTGCTTGCTTTTGGCACGCGGGAAAACATGCCTTGAAAACTTCACGCCGACAGGGTGAACGTCCAGTGCATCATACGACTGTAATCTCATGTAGTGGAGAGTCTCGACTGAAACACCATCTGCAACGTGTTGCAAGTTTTGCTCTCCCTCCTCGGCGGTAATCACAACACGTATGTCAAATGGTGCTACCGGTACTTTAGTGACTTGAGGCGAAAAGATTACGGTTCGGACCAATGGCACTACGTCGGATCGTTGAGCAACGTGCGATCGAATCCATTGAGAATCCGGATTTGCCCCAACGTGATTCCTGCTACTCACATTACAATGGGAACTGCTACAGTAGGCCTACAGTACGTGGGCCGTGATCAGTCTGTGACGATCTGGAGTGCTCGTTGAGACTTCCCTCAATGACCGGTTGGGCAGAGAATGAAGTGGTCCGAGGCGGGGCGTCTTTCTGGCGCTCAGCGTACAATATCTACTATGGCCGGGGCATTTGGTTTGGGGATGACTCGACTCGTTCTGGCCGCGTTGGCTATGTCTACGAGTATTGGTCCGAAGTCAATGGTGAGCCCTATGAAGTGGTGTATCCTGACCAAGCTTTGGACATTGACCGTTTCCAGAACACCGCTGTGATGCTCTGGGCTGGAACTTGGCAGCATGAAACTCAGACCGACGATAGCATACATAGATAGATACTCTGCGAGATTCCGGAAGAAAAGAATCTCAGTCAACAACCTTTTGGCCTCGGCACGGCAATAACTTGATCATGGCTGCTGCAAGAATGGCTGTTGTCCTTTCATCATACTTTTGATGCGACGTATTGCTGCCGTGTTCTAGCTAGATAGCCCCGGACGAAGTGGTGGATACTGCTATTGGTGGTTCAGCAGGGTGAGACCCCATTGGCAGGCCAACGCAAGATTCTCTGATGATTGTTACTTAGTAGTAGGGTGCAATGTTTGTGTGTTGCATATGATATTCTGGGTTCTGTTGAATAGCTGGTTCCTATCAGAGTGTAGAGTGGGCACCATTGCCGGTCGGCGCAAAGGGCTTCTTGGTAACGTAAAGACGAGGCCATGTCGATGTCATTCTGCAGGCCAGAAACCATTCAAAAGAGCAGAGTCGCCTGTCCTCGAGTGGAAGATGACCCTTGTGTGGTGTGTGTTTGTGTCTTTGTGTGTGCGCGCATGTTGTTGATTGTGCATCAATGAGCATCTGTCATCAGTAGAATTTTGGATATCCGGCGGGGTCTCCTTTGGGATTCTGCTGTTGTCCCATTACTTCTCTCTTTGGTTTCTGCTGTTCTTCCATTACTTCCCTTTTGAACTCTTCGACTGGCTTGCCCATGATCTTGGTCAAGAGTGCCTTCTGCAGCTGAATATGGTCACTTGCAGTCTCACCCATGCTGTCTTTCCAGTCATTGGCAATACGAGTTCGTCTGGCAATGATTCGCTCGGCTACCCCCACAGGGTCAATCAAGCCCACCACGGCCTTACCTCGGTCATTGATTCCCAAGTCTCTGACTGCTGGCGGCGTCAACAACATTTCTTCAATGAAATCATCTGCCCGTCCATAGGGTTGGTCCCCATCAAAGAATTTCGCCACACGATCGATATAGAAATCACGCAACCAAGTGAAGGAAACCTCCTTACTTTCACCGGCGTCTTGGTACTGTCGTAGCAACTCATGAATGGAAGCTTGAGTGCAAAGATTGTAGAGTAAATCAAAGTTTCCTTTTCGGAATGGACTCGACACCTGCACCTGATTCTCCATGTTGCGGCTCAGAATGATGGAGGTGATGCGATCAAACGTGGATGCCAACTCTTCTGGCCTGGCGGCGCCGGCGGTGAGGGAGCTATGCCGCTCGTCATACCGAATGTTTTCAAAGTAGGAATCCAAAATCTGATCGTTGGTGCATATCACAATGTCCAAATCCTGTATGAATTCATTAGCAATCTGTCCTCGAACTGACAAAATACGCTGGGCTAGATTGGCAGGATCAATTGCAATGGGGAACTCCACCCATCGTTCTTCCAGGTATGGATTGTGCTTGCTCCAACCTCCGTGGCCTCGTCCACGACGTTTGGCGGATACAATGATTTTATCTGGACATACAGAAATCAGCTAGGTTAGATTGTCTTGCTCGCTGGGATCTTTTAGCACTCATAATAGATACCTGTCTTCTTGACCGTTACTCACCTTTGGGCCTCTCCATCATTTCAAAGAGGACCATTTCCCAGCTGGCAAAGCGGTCAATGTCAAAGGCGCCGGTACCATGATAGTTTCCAAGGTTTGCCAACCCTAGAAAGTCTTCAATCCACTTGCCTGAATGAGGATCACGACATTCTTCGAGCAAAAACATGAAGGACTGGATGGCTCGCTGGGTCAGAAAACTTTTGACGCAAGTTCGAGCGTCATTACGAGCCATAATGGTGGCGCGATCATGTTTGTGGTCGTCAATTCCACCATTGCCACCATAGACTGTGCTGGTTACGGCGTATAAGGCCGTGCGCCGAGCATGGATAGAAGATTGAAGGCTTGATGTGCCTACAAAGGCGAGGGAGGAATGGCCGAGACTCCCAAGAAGGCCGACAATCAGACTCAGCAGAGGCCCATGTCTTTCTGGCTGTAACCACATCTCTCAACCAAACCGCTTCACAGGCCTGAATATAGCGACTCCTTGATGGGTGAATGTCCTTCCTCGAGGTTGTTTTCTTGGCTCATTGTCATCAACTCAAAAGACATGCCAAGAACATCTGCTTTTGGGATTGTTGGAAGCAGCTCGAAACTGACGTCAGAGCCGACTCAGTCGAGTCAATAGTTCGTGGCTGACGGCGTTTAATAAGCCAGCTTGGTTGTAAAAAAGCACTTTGCAAGGTCATCAAGCTCAAGGCTCCACGGCTGCACTCGTACCAAATACTCGAGTAAATATTGTTTCACCGGTCAACGAATCGAATCCGAATCAGATGCTTTCTAATCAATACATGTATTCATACGGGTTTTATATATTCACAAATAAATGACAAATGACAAAAAAGATGATGGAGCTGTGCAGTAAACATTTAACATCCGCAGTCACAGACTGGACTGAGGCTCAGCCTGTGAGATCTATTGGTCAAGTCTTGCAAAACCGGTCGTACGTAGTACGTAGACTACCTTTTTTGCTAGCGAGCTCCTCTGCTCTCTGCTTTCTGCTCCCATCGTTTGCTACCGTAGCTAGCTATTACGTTGGTCTCTCATAAAACAAATCTACCAGACACCGCAACAAAAGAGGACTCTCAAGCTATCGCAAACTAGCTAGGTACTCAATAGTCGACCAAAGATTGTAACATGATACATTCATCCATAAAAGGAGCAGCTGCCTTTGACTCCAAACCATGCCACCACAAGGGTGATTTGGGAGACCGAATTCTACTTGCACAAAGCCACAGAAGAAGCAATGATGACATCTTTGGAAAAAGGATGTACATTGTACTTGCATTCATCCTTGTGCCTGCTGCTATCCTTCATGCTTTGGTTGGCCTTGCTCTGGAAGTTGTCATGCCTCGTGACAGCAACAACCAAAAGCTATTCAACAACTTCCTGCAGGAAAACACATATGAGGATATAGTCAAGACGACAGTACCAGATGTCACAGCCTGGTATAGAAGCATGGACGGAGATAAGACCTTGCTACCAGCCAACAGGAGGATGTCAGTTTCTCCCAGTGGGGCAGCATGTGTCGATCGCTTCTTCCAGCAGATCGAAGTTGTTGTGAATGAAACATCCCCTGCTCATGTTGAGCTTGCATTGAAGTCTCTGGGCCTGTCAGACAGCCTTCTCACTCAAGTTGCCCTGCAAAATCTTTTGG